AAACAAAATAAGCTCATGGATATTTATAAAAGATTGCACATATTCAAGATATGTCTATTTCGTAACTACCAGTAGCTTGTTTTTTTCAAATAATCTCATCAAATCAATGTGAATGAGTTCTCAAAATTTAATCCTAAAATTATTGTTGTCTTGTCTAAACATTCATCATTTGAAATTCAAAAATGGGAATAAAAAATTATGAAATGTGACAAAGTATGGAACTATGGTTGAATGAAAAAGAAAATGTAATGAAATGCATTAACTTACCTTTTATTAAAATGATAACAGATGAAATCTTATTGCCAAAAAAATTCTAACATTACTTTTGAAAGAAATCCAAGAATGACAAGCAACATTTAACCAGCCTTAACATCTTTCTCCTTTTCAAAATTATACCCCTATGTGATCAAGTGAATGATCTTTTTTATCCTCTAGCTCTCTGATTTATTGTAACTCTTCAGGCCTTTACGAATCAATGTTTTCTTTATTCTCACTCAGAGCATTGACATTATGATTAGACAATGGATTGCCACTAACATTAGGTGTTGTTGCTCCTCTTTGATCAAAGTTTATCATTCCATCCTTAATCATTCGTTGCTCCTTATGCTTTAGGGTAGTGCAATTCTTCATGAAATGATCAACAATTCCGTAATGGTAATTACAGTGAGTTGTAGGATCATACCACTTGGTATAAAATAGCTTGAATGATTTCAAATGACTAGGGGCAATCAAGTGATTATTGTAGAGCTCTCAATATAACTCCATATAAGTCATAGGGATTGGATCAAATATGAGTTTTCTCGAGTAATTCGTTGCTCTTGTAAACCATTTACTGAGTTAGTAAGATGAAGTTAGGGTCTTACAAGAGGTCAGATGTTAAGGATATATATAAGAACTTGGGCACTAAAAATGGGTTGGTATGTGGATGAATAAAATGGTTGTGGAGTTGGCTGGTATGGGTAGGATGAGATATTATTCACAGTCAAATAGCACAAAAATAACCTTTTGAATTGTCTATCAAAGCTCACAGCTTGAGCTTCAGTCTCTTTCTTCTCAGGTGCTCTTCTGGTTTTTCTTTCTTTTAATTTATCATTTTTAATGGTATTTTTAATGATTTCATTTGAGATCACCATATCGGTTGTATTCTCTACCATTTTTTATAATAAAGAGACTTCAAAGTACTAATAAACAACATCGTGGTCTTTTTCTCAATCAGAAGAGGTTACACTTGAAAAGCTATGTCTTTCTACCTCTAGACATATTCCTTAAATGATTCATTTACTTTTTTCTTCATGTTCTGTAAAGATAAGCGATCATGGGCTAAGTTTATAATATGTCGATACTGATTAATAAAGTTATGAGTCATATCATTTTAAGAACGAATGTGGGTTCTGTCCAACTGGACATACCACTTAAAGTAGAGCTTGTGAGGCTATCTTGGAACATATGCATTAACAGTTTTTTATTATTAGCATAGGCTGTCATTTTTTTATAGTATATGGTAATGTGGGTCTTCGGACACTTTATACTATCATACTTCTCGAACTCTGATACCTTAAACTTTGGAGAAATAATCACATCTAAGACTAAACAGAGCCCAGCAACATCTACAGAACTAAAAAACCAACTCCTTCCACTGCTCGTAGCCTTTCCTCTAATATGTTCATATTTTGTTTAGCTTTTGAAGCTTCTAAAGTCTCTTTCTCCTTGGGCTTCAGCTTCTCTTTCTCTTCTGGATCATCCAAATTAGGGACTAATACTAGTTCTACTGTCTTCTCGATAAAGGTAGGATTTACATAACTCTAATATTGTTCGAGGTTTGAAGTTGATAGCATTCTGGGGTATGTGTACCCTATAGGATAAGTGAACTGCTGTAGTAATGGACCTTATGCTGGTTGGGCTTGATATGGCCCAAAACTATAAGGGTACAATGGGTCATCCACCTCTTGTGAAGGATGGTCTTATTGGTTAGTACTTTTTTCTATACATTTTCCTTTGTTTAACTTGTTCAAAGCTTCTAAAATCCTATTCAACTCCCCTTCTAGCTTCTCTTAGGCTTTCTCTATCATTTCAAGATGATTAAAATTTTTTTGTTTCATCTGTCTGGCTCTAACCCTTGTATTTTATAGGTGAGTGAGGTTCTTGCTTGATGGAGCTATCCTTGAACCTTGAGCACCACAATTATGATCAGAAATGCTATGCTTTATTCATGATATGTTGATGCATGAATGAAATGTACATTTTTATTGGTAAGATAAAAATGATCCAAATGTAGAATGCAAATGCTAATTAAAATAATACAAAAGCAAAAAGTCAAACACATAAGATAGTTAAATATATAACAAAAATTGTTTCCTCTTATGTCCTAATTTCAGGTTAAGTCTATCAATAGGTAGGAAGGGCTCTATCTTAAGGCTGACCTTTTAAGTGTACACTATATGCTAGGTTAGGTGACTTTGACCACTAAATGTTTCCAAATTATTTCTTACATTATAGTCCATCACAGACTAGTACAACAGTCCAATTCTCACCCATCACAGGCTACCAACGAAAAAAATTTAATTTGAATGGGAGTATTTCACTAGTCATTACGGAGATTATCATCTCACAAGGGCATAGGTACTTTACTCCATTTTAAAAGGGACGAAGCCTGAGTATAGAGCATGTAATGCAAATGCATGTGATAGTGAGTGTGAAGGAACATATGGGTTTCATGCCCCAAAAATTAAAAAAAAAAAGACACAAAAACGTTAGTAAACAAATAACACAAATCATTACAATTTAAAACCATTAGACCAAAGGATAGAATAAATTTAAAAATTATGGCTTGACTCTCTATAGCATTCCCAGTGGAGTCACTAAACTATCATAACATATAGATCTGTAAATCTATAGCTATACTTAATAAATAGATTGAGTCGTCATCAATCTTTTTTAACTATATGTGATTGGTCACCTAAAGAATCTATTCCTTTAAGGAGCTCATAAGCTTAACGAAAGGTCCCTAAAAGAATAAGTTTGGGTCTACTAACCAAAACAGGATTCAGAAATTCGATTACATGTGGGGAAGGTATAGTACCCCCGCATGTCCATCCGAAAGATGATACCATATTATTTTAAATTTATCCTAAGATCTTGGTTCTAATGGTTTCAAAATTGTTATGTTGAATATTGAAAATAATTCTTAAGACTCTCCATCAATCTGATAAAATTCTTAAAAATATTTTTTCACCTCAAAAGTATTCAAGAATCTCATTTGATATCTTGACGAGGCACAGTCATCAAAAAATTTAGTTATTTAATTATTATTTTTTACGTTAAAAATATATCTAATTATTCCTCTATTCGAGCCAACTTAGATATATTTTATCTTTTTGAATTTCTAAACTTTTCACCATTTGGGCCTATTTAAAAATTTTTTTTCTTTTTTTTATTTCTAAATTTTTCACCATTTGGACCTATTTAAAAAAATTTTTGTTATTTTTTTGGGCCTATTGAAATTTCATTTAAATTATTTCACTATTTAGACAAATTTAAAAAAAAAATTATCACCTAGAGATTTCTTAGAAATTTACCATTTGAAATTTCTAAAAACATCATCTTTAGATAATTGTCAAATATTTTCAACCCAAATTTTATTTTTTATTTTTATTTTTTTGTTGAAAATAAATATTAATTATTGTTATTGAAACTTTCTCTAAATTATTTCACTATTTGGGATAAATTTAGACAATTTCTCACTTAGGAATTTTAAAAAAATTTACCATTTGAAATTTTTATAAACTCTATTATTGGATAATTATTATTTATTCTCAATTTTTATTTTTTATTTTTTTCTAAATTTAATAATGAACAAAAATAAATAAACACATAAAAATAAATAAACAAATACTAAAAAATACCAAAAAAATAAAACAGCTCGGCTGGAGCGGCTTAGAACGGTTCGACTACAAACACAGGAAGCAGCTAGAAGGTGCGGCTCAAGGGTATGGCTCAGCTTAGCTCAGCGGCAAGATTCAGTTGGGATGCAGGTCACAGAAGTGGGTTGACGTGCGGGTCGAGTCGCCTGCTAGAAAACAAGTGGATCCTGGGATTTATTTAGATTGAAAACGACGTCATTTTCAATGGGTATATAAGGCTAAATCTCAACCTTTTCAGCAAAATTCTTCTTTCCCCTCTCTCTCTCTCCTCGTTTGTTTTCTCTCCCCTTCTTTCTACAATTCCAGATTTTCGATTGAATGCTTCATTGGAAACTGAGAAAGATTGCTAAAAACTGGAAAAAGTTGTCAAAAAATTTAAGTTTTGCCAGAATTTTCGTCGAAATCTAAAATTTTTTCAAAAATTTTTTAGAAAAAAACTTCCAAATTTTCAAAAAAAAATCCTAAAATTTCTAAAATTGCTCATATCCTTCTAAACACCTTCTTGTTTTGCTTTTGTTTTCTCTACCTCGTGTGTGATTTTTTTTTCTATGATTGGCTTCTATTTATATTCCGATCTGTGTTCTGTGTTATATTTATAGGGTTTAGCTCAAGTGTTCCTAATTAACTAGGAATCTAGCTCTAACAAGACTTCTGTATTACCACAAAAACATCAGATTTATCTAATAAAAATTAAAACCAACTTCAACTTTGCCACCATCCATCCACGATATATTTTTTTTAATTATTTTTTTTGTGTCACCTAAAAACAGATAAATCAAAAACAAAAAATAAAGAGCAGCCCTAAAATAAAACCAAATAATAATAATAATAAAATAATAAAAAATAAAAGAATGATCAATTGAGCCTGATAATTTTGACCTTATTGAGCTAGGCTCAATTGACTTAGACCCAAACCCTATTGAACCAAACCCAACGAGCCTAGACTTGAACCAATTAAGGTGTTTTTCTTTGCTTCTGCACTGCTAAAGATCTTAGTACCGGTTGCCCTGACATTGAGAAGAAAGCTCTCCTTAATTTCAAAGAAAGTCTCACAGATCCCTTGGAAGGCTTTCTTCATGGATGGGTGAAGACTGCTGCCATTGGCATGGTGTAAGTTGCAATGCCGACACAGGACAAGTAACGACGCTTGATCTCCGAAACTCGTTTCAGACTAATAAAGCAGCTGAGAAGAAGTCAGCCTTAAGGGGTAAGATCGATTCCTCTCTGCTTAACTTGAAGAATTTAAGTTACTTAGACCTCAGTATGAACAACTTTGAAGGCAGCCCTATCCCACGGTTTATAGGTTCTTTCAGAACCCTGAGCTATTTAAATCTTTCTTATGCTCAGTTAGGTGGGACTATTCCTCCTCACCTTGGAAACTTATCGAATTTGCGATATCTTGATCTTCATTCATATTCAAATTCAGGTTACAAATTAAATGCAAATGACCTCCAATGGTTAAAGGGTCTTTCTTCTTTGGAATATTTGGATATGGGAGGGACTGATCTCAGTACTGTGACTGATTGATTGCAACAAGTTAATAGGCTTCCTTCTTTGTTGGAGTTATACTTGTCCAGCTGCAAACTCCGTAGCTTTCTTCTTGCCCTCCCATTTGTTAACTTTACATCATTGGTAGCTGTTGATATGTCTAACAATTTGTTTAATTCTCCAATGCCTAGGTGGATCTTCAATATTACTGGCCTTAAAAGCCTTTTTCTTATTGGTACCATTCCTAGTGCTTTTGCCGATATGCATTCTCTTCAACACCTTGATTTGTCCCATCAATTTTTGGAAGGTACAATACCAGGAATTTTAGCTAATCTCTCAAACTTACAATCTTTGAGGTTAGCATTTAACAACCTCAGCGGCAATCTGATTGAATTTGTAGACAGTTTGTCAAAAAATAGCAGCTTGGAAGTTTTGGATTTGACACAAAACAGGTTTACTGGTCATCTGCCTGATGCACTAGGAAACCTCACAAACTTGAGATCTCTTGTGCTTAGGAAGAATATATTCTGGCGTTCAATCAATACCTGCGTCTATTAGACTTTTGTCATCTTTACAACGTTTAAGCCTATTTGGCAATCCAATGAACGGCACCATCCCAGAGAGTATTGGGCAGCTTTCAGAGTTGGTTGTTATGGATTTTGGACAAACTGCTTGGAAGGGTACTATATCAGAGGGACATTTCTCAAATCTAACAAGGTTAGAAAAGTTGGAAATATCTTCAACATCCCAGAAGAAGTCCTTGGCTTTTAGTTGGGGAAGCCAGTGGACTCCTCCTTTTAACCTCAAGTCTATCATCATTGCGCACAACAGAGTAGGTCCCTCGTTTCCTGAGTGGCTTCAAACTCAAAGCAATCTGACCACTCTGTTCCTTAATGATGTTGAGATATCAGGCGAACTCCCAGATTGGTTTTGGAGTTGGTGTTCACTGCGCATTGATGACTTGGATCTTGCAAATAACAACATAAGTGGCACATTACCAAGATCATTACATTTTCGTTACGAAACAAATGTCTATTTGATTTCTAATCATTTTGAGGGTCCAATCCCCATTATGGTCTAATGTGCGCCACCTGTATCTTTGTAGTAACTCATTCTCAGGTTTAATTCCTGACAATATCAGTGAAACTATGCCAATGCTTAGGGATTTAGATCTCTCTCGTAACTTTCTCACTGGTGGCATTCCCTCTTCCATTGTTAAACTAAAGAATTTGATATCCCTTGTTCTATCTTACAATAACTTGTCTGGAGAACTCCCTCAGGATTGGAGTCAATTGCAACATTTGCAAGTTCTGGATCTAGCAAAAAATAATCTGTCAGGTGATATTCCAAGCTCAATGGATGCTCTTCATTCACTTCTATTGCTAATCTTAAGCAGCAACAGTTTTAAAGGAGAAATTCCATTATCTTTGCAAAACTGTAGAGGACTATGGAGCTTTGATCTTGGGAAGAACAAATTTTCAGGAAAGGTACCAACATGGATAGGAGACAATAGCCCATTACGATGATTCTCCGTCTCCGATCAAATTTATTTACCGGTAACATTCCAAGACAACTTTGCCGTCTCACAAGCCTTCATGTGATGGACCTTGCAGACAACAGGCTATCTGGGGTCATACCAGCATGTCTAGGAAATTTAACTGGTATGGTCTCGGAAGTTCAATTTGAAGATGCGAAGCCATGTGAAGGGAATGTGATGATTGTGGCCAAAGAAAGGGAAATTGAATACAGTAGCACACTTCCATCGGTGAAGATCATAGATCTTTCAGAAAATAATCTATCTGGTAAGGTGCCTGAGGAGATTACCAAGCTGCACAGATTGGGTACATTAAACTTGTCAAACAACCATTTGACTGGGAGCATTCCATCAAATATTGGCAATCTGAAGTTGCTTGAAACACTTGATCTTTCAACAAAACAACTCTGTGGTTCAATTCCACAAAGCTTGTCCTCAATATCATTCTTAAGCCACTTAAACCTATCTTATAACAACTTAGTGGGAAAATTTCATCAGGGAACCAGCTGCAAACTTTGAACGATCCATCTATTTATAAGGGTAATCCAGGACTCTGTGGGGGGCCACTAGCTAATAAATGTGAGGATGACAGAATACCAAGTGATCATGCTGACGATGACGCTGGTGAAGACAATGTGATAGAAATGAAATGGTTCTATGTTGGAATGTCAATCGAATTTGTTCTGGGATTTTGGGGAGTGTGCGGAACATTGTTGTTAAACAAGTCTTGGAGGCTTGCGTGTTTTCAACTCATTGATGAGAGGAAAGAGAAGGCATCTATGTTCATTGCAATGAGCTCGGTTCGTTGGCAGAGGAAATTGAAGTCTTGGCAGAAGCAGAACTAATTCATTCACCTGACCCTCAGCTAAAAGCGGCCTATCAGGATCCATTTTGATTGATACTTATTGTCAATAAACATGCAAATTCTTGCATCTGCAATCATTTTTTTTTTCATGTTACGGCCTTCTTTGTAACATAAATTATTAATCCTGAAAACATTGTTCCATCATTCAAATTGTTAGTAAATTAACTCCTAATATCGTCATTTCATTTTTCTTTTTCAATCTTTAATGGTTTAAAAATAATGTTAATTATGGTTTAAAAAGTTCTCTCTTCTTGCTAAACAATCTATTGCTTTCTTTAATTTTCATTCCTCCATCAGAATCGTAAAATGGATGAAAATTTCAATTTCCCAACCGTTGCTGGAAAAAATTTGGAGTAACATCTACATCTTTCTTTTCTACTAAAATTACACATCTAAAATAAAAAGACGAAGGTGGAAAATTAATAAAAGAGAGGTTAAACAACAATTAAAAAAAAAAAAGACGATCAAAATAATAATTTGATGAAATTGACTATTATATAATAAAAAACATAAAAAATTTTTGAGCAGACCACAATCTCTGCCTATCCCTTGTCGCCCCATCCCCAACTAAACTAAAATAATTAAAGTTCAAAAAAATCATATTTTTTTTATAAAAAGAATACCATAAATTAAGAATAAAAAAATTTATACACTAAAATTTAAATTCCAAAATTATTTAATATCATCTATAATTATATCAATTCAGAACAATCTTATTTTGAGTTTTGAGTATAGCATGACATAAACAACCTGAGAATCTAATTAAATTAGCAATTAATTAATCAGTACTTGATGCGTACGGTCCTTGGAATCCCACATCATTCAAATGAAAAATAGAAAATAGTGAACATCGTCAGATTCATATCTATAAGAGTTAAGTAGTAATTAAATTAGCAATTAATAAGTAGTCAGAAAAACGTTCATTAGAACGAAGCTTAGAGAACCAACCAACCGAAGGTGAACAGACCAGGTGGGGTATTCTCGTTCCAACTGTTCAATTAATTTTATGGGACCAAACTGTTGGTGACAGAGTCACGTGTGTCCTCTCGATCTATGCCCCTAAACACATAATTGCAACTGTTCTTAAATCTAAGGTTTGACAGTTAAAGGAGGGTTTTAGGGTTGGCAGCTTTCTCTCTTTGCTTTCACCCACATATATTGGGAAGGCATGGAATTTGGTGCTACCAATTAGTAGCTTTCTCTCGAGCGGCATGCTTCATGCCTTGAATTAAAGAATCAAATGCTATTGCTTGTTCCTTATTACTTTCTTAATTTCTAATTAAAACATTCTGATCATCTTGTCTTTTTTTTTTTTTTTGGTTTCTAATGTAAGAACAAATAGGTTGATTTGAATTAAGGTAGTAGCAATCATTTGGGGATGAAGGTAAACAATATTAAGTATAAAGAAGATTAAATTTTACTTAAGATAATTATTTTTGAGGGGGCTCGAAAAATCTGTTACAAATTTCAATGAGGTGAAAAAATAAAATAAAATTAAAGGGGAAAGAATGAATGAGTTTGTCATATTCTTCTTCTTTAGAAGAAAAAGTTATTTTTCTTTCAATGTTATATTGTTATAGCAGTGAAAAAAAATCAACCCCAAGCTGTAGCTATAATACAATAATAACATGATGTCACTTCATCTCTATATGTAGAACCCCACTTATACACCATTCCCATAATTGAAAGCCACAAAAACAATTAATCTAGCAGGTGAGGTGACCAAGAAAAGAGTCAATGGCCGCTTCTTTCAAGCTCTTCTCCATCTGCTTGATTATCATCTCCATCTTCATTCCCCAAGCACTTTCAGTTGTACCAGAGGAATGTCAAACAGAAACTAATGGCTGCACCAACAAAGGAAAGGCATTATCCCTCGAAATCATAGCCATTTTCTCCATATTGATCGCTACTGTTATAGGTGAATGTTCACCTTTATTCACACGTTCGATCCCAGCTCTTCACCCTGACGGAAATTTATTTGTAATCGTTAGGTGTTTTGTTGCTGGAATCATTCTAGCAACTGGTTTCATGCACGTGTTGCCGGTTCTTTCGACATGTTATCATCTAATTGCTTGGACGAGAACCCATGGCATAAGTTTCCCTTTACAGGATTTGTAGCAATGCTATCCGCAATGGTGACTTTAATGGTGGATTCCATGGCTACATCATTATACCGCAGGAAAAGCAATGCTGGGTTTATCCCAGTATCTGTATCTATTGAGGGAGGACAACACGAAATGGCTGCGGTGAATATTGGACACTTTCATGGACACCATCATGATCCAAGGCCAGCAGGAAAGGTGGGTCAACAGTTGATGCGTTATCGTGTCATTGCCATGGTAAGAAATTTTCAGCTCTAAATATTACTAGCTAGTCAAGACATGAACGTCAACAGGGAAAATAAGATATATACTACCAAACTACTAACATGTTTTAGTTACATCAGCTAGGCTTGACTTATACATGGTATGAATTCACATATAGACAAAAAATTGCCATGATCAGATTCGTTAATCTGTTGACTTTTCCTGCAGAATCATAAAAATATATATGTATGATGATAATCTAAAATAAAATATACAATATCTTAGAAATTATTGTCAATTGCAAACGGTTTGTATCTTGTCTGTAACTCGTCCAGATCTTATCCTCTGTCTTCATGAGTCTGATAGTTATAACTTAAGTCTTCCCTACAAAGAATTGCAGCTATTTTAGAGTTCGCCTGAGTTTCACATTGATCCAATAGCTAGGGGCGGTCGTAGACTCATAGATACTCTCTTATAATCGTTAGATCTTATCCAAATATATATCCTAACAAAATTTAAAGAAAAGGGACTGAGCTGATTCAATTGATTAGCTGCATTATAGGATCTTTTGAGCATTACATTCACATAAGTGTCATCTGTTTACTATGGCTTGTGCACCATGAGTGCATGAACCGAGTGTCGATTAGTTCATTGTAGCAATGAAGATGATCTCTTGTATGTTGTAAATTCATCTAAATGGTTGGCAGGTATCAGAAATGGGAATTATAGTTCATTCAGTGGTGATAGGCCTTTCACTAGGAGCCTCAAACAACACTTGCACCATTAAAGGTCTTGTGACAGCCCTTTGCTTCCATCAAATGTTTGAAGGGATGGGTCTTGGCGTTGCATTCTTCATGCAATCATTTCCTACATTAATTAATCACTACTGATCCTTTTATTCTTCAGAGCTAAGGCCTCGTCGGAAAACATTAAGTTAACTCTTTTGACATAGGCTGAGTACAATGCGCTCAAGAAGATTATCATGGTTTTCTTCTTCTCTGTAACGACCCCATTTGGAATTGCACTAGGAATTGCTCTGTCCAAGACATACAAAGAGAATAGTCCAACTGCCTTGATCACAGTAGGACTGCTAAATGCATCGTCAGCTGGACTTTTGATTTACATGGCTTTGGTTGATCTTCTTTCATCAGATTTCATGGGTCCAAAGTTGCAGGCTAGCATTAAGCTCGAAATAAAGTCCTATGCTGCAATTCTTTAAGGCGCTGGTGGCATGTCTCTCATGGCCAAGCGGGCTTGATCATGGTAAAGAGAGATATTTGATACAGATATAGGAAGAAAAGAATGCAAAACAAATAAACCATCTTACCGTGTTTTTTGCAAGTTGACCTTTCCAGGTAGCTAGTTTCACTGTTACATTGTGCGCTTTGTTTTTTGTGACCCTTTCATCATGTATAACCACCAACCAAGGAAAATCAATTCCTCTCTTTCAGTTTGTTCTTGCTATATTAAGATCTTTCAGTTGACTTTTTATTTTATTTATTTCATTTTCTTCGTGCCTGGCTATATATATCTACTTGCCTTTACAGGAAAAGAAAGGTCAGAGACCAAAGCCTTATGATTTAGGTTCTTCAAAATAAACTAAGCTAGCATGAATGGAATGAGTTAAAGTTCGACTTCAATATATATATTTATTTGATGGGTAAGTGAATCACTTCAGGTTCTTCAAAAAAACCTTCATAGTCAAAGGTACGCAGGTCAGCCAAGGGAACCGAGCCCAGGGGATATGAACCCACACTGTTTTTCCAAGTTGCTGCATTCAGGCCCATTAATATGGTCAAGTTTTTTGGACAAATACTTTGTGACCCGCAAACAGGAGCTTGGGCCACAAATTTTATGGTTGGCGAAGGGATCTAAACCTGCCCAACATTCACCATTTGACATTCACATCAGAAACTCAACATAATTTTATCGGAGATCTGATGATATGCAACTCAATCCAAACGTTTAAATGGCCACAAGCTCATGCTACTTTCATACACAAAAAGCAACACCCAGTTTTCTATTTTGTATGATTTTTTTTCTTTTCGATTATAGAAGTAAATTTTCTACTAAAATCCAAGGAAGGGCGGTGGATTATGATTATTTTCTCATTTTTCAACCCTGTTGCAGTCACTTTTGCAGATTTATTTATCCCAAATATAAAAAATTGTATTGGGGTTGAAAAAGTCAAAGCAGAGTCACATTTTTCTCGTCAAACGGACAAAAACCGTTTGCATAGATTTCTTAAGCCAGCGTTTTCTCTTACTGGTTGAGCATCTTCATCCTTGTTTATTGCATTATCCAATAGCTTTTTTTTTTTCTTTTTCTAGGAGAAAATGACATTAAAATCTTGATTTTATTTGGTGGATTGAGAGAGAATCCCAACAAAAATGTTGAAAGCAATGCTTTCATTTCCTATTTTTCATCCTTTGTCAAAAAGAATAGATACAATATTTTATGGTACCATTTTCTATCCTTTTGAAGTAAAAAATACTAAAAAAGATGCTTAGGGAATCATTTGAATAAAACAGATTACTACTAATACAAAACTTTTATCATCCACCAAAAAATGAAATTTGAGATCAAAATGGTATAAATTCTTACTTGATTCTCTTTATATCTTATACACCATTTTATATACTATACATTTTAAAAAAATAAAAAACACCACAAAAAATTATGACAAGATGATCATTTTAATGTAATTTTTATATAAAAATATTGCGATTGAAAAATAAATTATAAGTATTAAATTTTTAATTTTTAATTTTTAAAATATTATTTTTAAAGATAATTGTATGAATTAAATATGTAATATTTTTTAAAAAAAATTTTATGAAAGAATTTTTTTATGCAACAAAGAATATTTAATAAAAATCAGATAATTAATTAATAATAAACCATAAAACAAAGTTTTAGTAAATTTTAACCTTTTAAATGTGACTTTGTTTTTTTTTTTTTTGAAATATGTATATGTGACATTATTTAATGTTATTATATGGGGATTCTAGAAAACTGAAAAAAAAAAAAAATTGTATCTAAATCAAGCAAGAACAAAAGCATGCCAGCAAAGCAAAAATCCCAAAGAAAAGGTCTTTCCTTTTCTCTTACGCCATTTACACCACAACAAATTTGACCGATGGATTCTTTTATCTTTTTTTTCTTTTTTTCTCTCCACATAATGATCTTTCCTTAATCTAACTATTATCAGGAAAATAAAAGGTAAAAGTTTTTTAAATGCTTTGGCAAGCGGTGGTTTGTCAGAAATTAGGGTTTTTAATGACCTTTCGCAAGGCGGCCCATAAATTCCTGTTCCAGATAACGTTCCAAGCCATGGTATGGAAGTTTCATTTCAAGTGATTGATACCCTTTTATTTGTTTATTATATTTTTTTGTAATTTATTTTACCCTGTAGTTTTGTAGAAAATAATGGACAGGTATCGCTTTGTCAAGAGACTTAACCTTTTTTTTTTCTTACTGGGGTTATTGGATTATTGAGGTTGGCTCTTTTAAAAGTGCCAAGTTTTTATTTTTTTGGGTCCGAGCCTGGAGCTTTGAATTGATCTGTTGATGGGTATTTGTTAGATTCTGACTTGGAATCAGGAACTAGAAGATCAGCTTTTTGTTTGTGGATCTCTTTTCTGATTCAGCTGGATTTTGGTGATTAAATCTGGGGCATGGTCAATTTCCTTGATGGGTTCTTTTGGATTTTGTTTTAGAAATATGAGCCAGAAAAGATCACTTTTTTATTTCTTTTTTTTTTTTTTAGTGACATGCAAAATTGAGATGGATTTTTTATCCTAAATGGTTTTGCTTAGGTTTGGTATCAGTAATTACTTGAAGTGGAAAGATTAGCAGATTTCGTTTCAATTATCTGGAGGAATTGGTCTTGAAAATGGAGGATCAAGAAGTTTTGCCTGATGAGTCTTCTTTATCCTTAGTTAGGGAAGTTAGACTAGAAGAAGATGAGGAAGACTTTCGGAGCTGTTGTGAAGATGAGGAGGTATGGAAAGAAACTGAAGAAGTGATAAAGGAAGAACAAAGAGAAGAGCTTGATAAATTTTCAGTGAAGATGTTTTTCAAGGGCATCTCTTTAGCAGAGACTGGGGACTCTAGTTCTGGCTTTTCAGGTATTGGGGTGGTTATGGAGAGATCAGCCGGTAGTCCTGTTATTCAAGTGCAGAAAAAACTTGACTTTTATGTAGAGGAATCTGTTGCTGATTATTTAGCTTTAATGGATGGTTTGATGGAGGCTATGCAGAACAAGATCCGCCGTGTATATGCTTTTACTGATTCCGCATTGTTATATGATCAGGTCAGTGAAGATTGGCATCCCCATGATGTTCTTTTGGTATCAAACATTAAAGATTGTCTCGTTTCTTTGACACTTAAATAGTTACTTTCATCATATGATATCACAAAACCTTTCTATAATGTGAATTTTCATTTTGCTTTCTGCCTGGCTACATTTATAAATCCACTTCATATCTGAAGAGCTAAAGATTCGAACCTCCCAAATCCGCTGTATCCTTTTTTTTTTTTTAATTCGGAGTTATAGAATATGGCTTTAGCTAATTTTTTATTTCCTGATTTTAGACTTAGAACTTTCAACTATGCTGAAAATTTTTATTTCCTTAATCTGTGCTTTACTGAAATGAATTTCTGGCAGATTATGTGCAAGGAGAAACTTGATAATCCACTTTTGATAGCACTGAGGGAAAGAACCCTAGAACATACCCACAATTTGGAAGAGTTTCTTCTGAAACTTGTTCCAAGCGGCAATGTTTTGAGGCCATTGCAGCTAGCCCAAGTAGCCATAGGAGTCATATCTTCTCCTGCCAAGGGAGATAAATCACTTGAGAATTGTTCTATCTGCTGTGAGGACAAGCCATCATTGATGATGATCACCATGAAGTGTTCCCATAAATTCTGTTCTCATTGTATGAGAACTTATGTAGATGGTAAACTGCAATCGTCCCAAGTCCCCATCAGGTGCCCTCAGGTAAGATGCAATTATTACATTTCCACTGCTGAGTGTAGATCTTTTCTTCCACTTGCTTCCTATGAGTTTTTAGAAAGAGCCCAAGCAGAAGCAAATGTTCTTCACTCTGATGGAATCTACTGTCCTTATGCAAATTGTTCTGTCTTACTTGATCCTCGTGAATGCTTGTCAACTAGGGCAAGTTCATCTAGTCAATCAGATAGTAGCTGTATCAAGTGCCCAGTTTGTCAAAGGTTTATTTGTGTGGAATGTGGAGTTCCATGGCATTCGTCAGTGAGTTGTGAAGAGTATCAGAACCTCCCTCTTGAGGAAAGAGATGCTGCAGACATTACCTGGCATCTCTTGGCACAAAACAAGAGGTGGAGGCGTTGCCAGCAGTGCCGTACGATGATTGAACTTACCCAAGGTTGCTATCACATGACATGCTGGTAAGATCCATCTTCTTGTAATAGCACTTTGTTTATTGGAAAGAAATTAATTGAGATTGATTAAATAAGGGGCTGATTGAACCTTGCGAAATGAAATTATTTGATGCTGATCTCTTTCCTGCATTGGAATTTTTTACATTGATTGCAATTTTCTTTGCTTGCTACTGAGGCACAATTTTAATTGCTGCACCTGAATCTAATTGCAGGCCATGCAGTTTGTAGCATCTTTGAATTGTAGTTTTTGTTTTGTGCAGCGATCTAATCATATGACCAACCGTATGGACTTTTTCTGAATGGTAATTTGGTTGGAACTATGACGTGAGTGGGTGGGCTAGAGAGACAATATATGCTTAGAGAGTCTCTTGATGTTTGGACTTAAACTTTGTTGTGTATATTTGGACTTTATTCGTTGTCCCATGATATAATCAAGTTATCCTTGACTTAACTTCTTGGTTAATGGAGTTGATCATCCTTTGATCATGCAATTTTGTATGCTTGCGTCGAGCTCTTGTTTGTCCACATGTGAAGAAGTGTATCTGTATGTTTTGCACGCACATGTCCTATATGAAAATCGTTTCTTATATGGTCCTCGAAGCCAAATTTGCTTCCATGTCTCCTTTTCAGGTGTGGGCATGAGTTCTGTTATTCTTGTGGTGCCGAGTACAGGGGCGGTCAACAGACCTGTCAATGCGCCTTTTGGGATGAAGACAACACTGAAGACTCGGTCACCCATTCTGTACAAGAATCAGAACAATGGGCATGGGAGACTTTCAATTCACTCCCTATGATCATGGACGCATATTCAGACCAAGAAAGATCACAGCTTACACCAATCCAAAGGTTCCTCGCTGGGGGTTTTAGTCTGAGTGACCATCATCCATATCAATCCCCACCCCGCTGTACAGATTCCTATGTAGATGCGATGAAGGACATCCGTCAGCTTCCTTGGCTCGAGAGATTCGTCTCTGTAATAAGTGACAACTACGACGAAGACTATATCCAATGAAGCTAGTGTAGATCATTCCAATGTTAGGTAATAGACTGTATCAGTCCAAGTCCAACAAGGTTTACAAGAGAGGCAAAGAGTTTCTCACTCTATTGGCTCCATTTTCATTTACACAAATTTCTTGAGATCAGCATTCCTCCCACTTTATGTATTTCTTGTCTGTCATTAGTTACATGCTGGAAGATAAAATACCCTGGAGGTCTTTGCATAAGATTAAAGGGAAGATTCTATGCATGATAGTTGCTTCTTCGAAAGAAAAAGAGAGATGATAGGTTTAACATCTTAGTAATGTCACCAAATTAAAAGAAAGTTAATGAAACAAATCTTTTCATTTTGACATGCTCTCTCTCTCTCTCTCTCTCTCTCTCTCTCTCTCTCTCTCTCTCTCCTATGAATGCCCTGGCATTATCAGTGCCAAGAATACTGTTTTGATGAAACGAGTACCATGGACTTGACTAGTACCATGGACGCACAGCATCAATTATGCCAAACGAGGCCCATCACAATCTAGGTATATCTCAAGAAAAAGCAAATCCAAATTTTTGCAGGTTTGTGTTTTTTGTTCGTATATTCTGCATATTATAGATTCTTAATTGGGAATAATGAGCATTGCATAGCCTTCCAAGGTCGTTCGAGCTAGGCTTGGAGACGGGGGCTAAGCAAAACCACATGCAATTTGACTATCCTGCAGGAATCACTCTCGAGATCACCCTTCAGTCATTCATCAGGATTTATCTTATAAAAGGATGAGAAATGGGGCTAGACTTCCTTAGTTTTCTGCAGATTTTTTACCATAAAATAGTTTTTCTGCTGCATACAATTCCCACTTTCTTTGGCTTGATTATTGCGTTTATAATTTATTGAGGCTGTTCATAGTAAAAGTTGCAACAGAGCTTCTGTTTTTTATAATTTATTTTTCAGTGGGGTGGCACGTGCATTTTGACTAGCTCGCCTAGCCTAGTAATTTTATCCACCACCCACCATTTCCTTTTTCTCTCGACAGCACACGAGATTCCATGGAGTCGTTGACAAAGTGCTCTCGGCAAGGATAGCCTGAATACTTCGAATCCAAAATCATCTTCTGATAAAGTTTTCCCCATAGTTCACATGCAAATCAACAATTCCATGTGGCTCAAAAGTCAAATTCTGCAGTAGAATGCAACCAATATGTTCTAGATTTGGGATTCTATTTCACTTGTTTTGATTACAGGCCATCGAAGACCTTTTTTCGGGTATATATATGGCCATGAAAATACATGGACAAACACATATTACTATGTTAGGAGGCAAAAGAGAAAAAATGAGAAGATTCATTAAGGACAAAAGAGGATTTGACAAATGAACTTACCAATTACTATTGAAACAGAAGAGAGCAAGAAAGTCATAAGCAATGATTTAGACAAGACATTAATGAAAACCCTTCAACACTCGTTCAGTGTACAACTCATCCCATCATAATTCATAACTGAATTACGCGGATTAAGCCAAAAAGAAGGACTAGTTGTGCCAATTTGGACCTACACAAAGAAATAAAAAAAGAAGACCAATTCTTTGATTGTTGTGGAGGCAAGTAGGCAACAGAGGTTGGTGATTCACTTCACCTTTCCACTCTGTTCCCATCCTTGAATGGTGGAAAGAAAAAAAGGAATAGTAATAATAACTAAACTAAAGCAAACGACCCCCAAAAAGCTCATAATTCAAGTCTTATTAAGGGAAAACATTTAGTTTGAAAAAACAGGAAACCAACATAATAGAAGATTAAGACAATTTATAGCATTAGTTTGGAGGTAATCCTACAACGAGACTAGGTGAAAGCTTATCCATCTTTTCATTTGTCAATATATACCAAGAACAAGTAACCACAAAGTTTTGTGAGGATATTAATCAAGATGAATATGTTCTCTATGAACAAGATGATATATCAAAGAAAAGAGAGCAAAACACCAAGATTACAAAAATGATAAACTCTACCTATTTCGGTATTCAACTGTATCTTGATATTCTCTCCTATTGCTTTTCTTTACTATATCCTTCAAGCCATTCAACCAGCAGTTCAAAAATGCTGGAAATGCAGTGATAATACCACCTGAAACTTAGGAAGTGCAGCAACAAATTATATGCGACAAACTTCAACATGAGATGGCATTAGAACCGTAACTAATTGCTTTGAGACTTGAATCAGACATATTAGTCATCCATATCTGAGGACTATTTGATTCCCCTGGTATATTGTATGCATAAGATGGCCACCGAACATCGATGTCACATGAGCTTGTAATGCCCATTCTGATCATTTTTTGTGTTCTCTCAAGAACTATGAGGCTAGAAAATGTGGAAAAACTATTGCCTACAAAAACATCAGCCCTTGAGCACACCTCATAGTCAATTGCTGACTGAATGAGATATGGATGCTTCTTGTAAATTCCATCAACCCCTAATTTCTTCTTCTCAAATGGATGCAATCCTTTCTTCCAACCACCCAATACTGAAGAATCATTAAGGAGGCTATCGGCAACAGCAAGATAAACTACAGTTGGAAATTCTAAGCCGACAATGTTCCCCACTCTTTCCATAATTTCTTGCTTGCTACTACAAATTTGGCTTATGCCTGATCTTTGCTCTAAGTTCTTACAATGAATCATCCAGTCTATTTCTACCCTCATATGGACTGCTACATAAGGAGCGGGTGGCAGCGAAGAACCCTCTGCATCAAAATTGTTTTGTACTGTCTCAGTTTTTCTCCTAAGCTTTCTTCCTATCTGCCTAATCTTGGACACAACTCTATCTGCTTCTTTTGCTATCTCATCAACCAAAACTAAGCACTCAAAGACCCTTGCATAGTCCTTAACAGGCCAATGATCATGCCAAAGAAATGGATTCTTTCCAACAATTCTAATCACTTCATACTTATCAACAGGACCTCTGCTGCTTTGCTTCAACTGCTCCAGGTCTCTCTCAACTGTCCACTTTCTTCCACTTCCCTTTTGGAGATCATATACTGGTGTTTGATTCTTAAGATCCGAGTAACGACCCAATCGCACAAACCCATTACAAAGAGAATTAAACCTTTCAAATTGGAAGACTTTATCAAAGGAAATTGGCTGCAAGCGGTAAATTTCTTTGTAGAAAAGCGACGCACTTAAGCTAGGCATCAAAAGAGTTCGGTTCAGCATTCTAGCAGTTAGACAAGCTCTTGCAAATGCTATCTTCTGATTATTTAGTCCCCACACAATTTGAGGAACCTTCAAAAACTTATCTCTACGAATCCCAACATCAGAGTTCAACAATAAAGAACGGCTTAGAATCAAGTCCAGATTGTTCCATTCCATCACACCATAGGCAGAGAATGAATGGAGCAAGACAGCTCTGAAAAACAGAGCAATAGTGACCAAAGCAAGAAGTTTGCATGTTACAGAAGTCAAATGGCAGCCGAATAACCTCGAAAGCCTACAGTTAGAGGACAAGTCCATTTACAATTCACAAACTTACAGCCTTCTCATAACCAACCTCATTAAAAAGAGACCATAGGACAATTTAACAACAGATTTAGCACATAGCAAGTCATATAATCACTATAACCGTCGAAATTACAGGTATCTAGAGTTGAGAAGACACAAAAAATGTTGCTTTGATATTAGAATCTCCACAACTTGGAAAAGAAATTATCATCAGAATCCATTTATGACAGAATTGTATGCTTGATTGACATAGTTGTAAAACAAGCTCAATTCAACTCTAAGAAGAAGAAGAAAAGTAAAAACTTAGATGCGAAATGCAAGCCAAGAGGAAGCCCACGTGGTACCATATAATAGGAGTTCAAATAAGAACAAAAAACCAATGAAGCTTATCTCTATATCAGCCTAACAAATTAAAAAAAAAAAGAAAAAACAGATAGTCCAAAAGAAAATACGCGTAATACAAAATCAAAAGCAGTGTTGAGAGAGACAGAAGATAATGAAATTGGCTAAAGGTGTTACCTTGCTTTGAAATCTGCATTTGCCTGCCACGGGAAATCCATATGATGACCAAACAAACCTGAATTCTGAGCAAGACCCAGGAAGGAAAAGAAAAAAAATTGATGATCATTCATGAGAAAGAATCCAGAAAAGACTGAATTCCCTTGAACCAAAAGCAAGCCAACCCATGGCCATCACCATCATGACACCAAGAAAACCTCATGAGAACATCAACAGATGATTAAAAAAACATGTCTTTTTTCTTCTTAGTATTATATTTCAATAATAATAATAAAAAGAATGAATTGACGACCATAATAACTTTTAGAAAAAAGGATGGGAATCTAGTGGGATAATTGTGGGAAAATAGCAAACAAAAAGACTAAAGAAGAAGGAAGAGCAAAGGAGTCAGAAGAGATCAGGTTTTGCAGGCTGGGGAAATTATATGATCATTGATAAAATGCACTTTAACTGTCCCACAGGTAAAAGCCAAAAGAACATTGCGAACAACATTTGATTCATTTGTTTTTCTTTTTAGCCTCTCAATATATCAATACATATCGGGTCCAAAATGTGTGTAGCAGAGCTATAAATGAAAATAAAATTGGGAAAAAAACGGACACTTCACCAGTTTTTCATTCTTTTACTTTTTCCGAAATACTCATTTTTTAAATCATCACAACCTGTCGAGTGTACAGTTGGGATCCGGGGAAGGCCTTTGTGTACATTCCCCGTGAGTTCTGAGTTGGAAATTGAAATTGCCAATACTACCCTTTTCTTAGGAGTACTTTTGCATTTTTTTCCCTTTAAAAATACTCTTTGATTGTACGATATTAAGTTGTGGTGGGTAAACTATGGTTTAGTTGCAAGTTGGAATGAAATTCCGAAGCCATGAAAACATTTCAACGCAAGTGGCAGGGGTAATAAACTGGGTTTATTCAACGCTAACTTCTTGCTAATTGCAACTTGGATTAGTTGGGTAAAGAGTTTAAACATTGAGAATTGAGCCTAGCAGCTTCCACTTCGACTTTTAATTCTCTGTCAGGTACCATAACCAATGTAGTTTCCGTCTGTTGTTGTCAGATAGAAAAAGGGGTATTTAGTTTAATTTGAATGTAAATTATTTGATCGTGTCACGTTTATTTTGAATTTTTTTTTGGTAAGAAACAAAAATAAATTAATTATAAAATATTACGATACATAGGATATCTAGTTTTATCAACGATGATTAAATTTTTAATAAAAAAATTCATTAAATATTATATAATTAATCTTGTAATGATTAAAATTATTATAATAATTGTTATTATCAAATCAGACAAGATATTCCATAGAAGAAACTCTTATTCTTAAAAAAAATAAATAAATAAAATTCATGAGAAATGGTTTTCGATAATACAATTCAAAAATCTGATCTAAATAGCCATTTCTTCTACAAAAAGTATGTCGATCTAAAAATAATAATAAATGTTCAGATTGAAATTTTATATTATATCATCTTTTATACGTAAAAGTATAAACTTCAAAACTATTAAAAATGAATAACATAAATATTTTTTATAAATTTAAAGAAAAAACAAATTTATCTTTAAATTTCTAATTTTTTTATTTATGTAATAAAAAAAATTTTTCATTAAATATATAGCATTTATTAGTTAATTATTTAAATTAATCCAAAAGTGTTAAAAGTGAATAACATAAATATCTTTATAAATTTTAAAAAATAAAAAATTTACTTTTAAATTTTTAGCATTTATTCATTTATTTAATAAAGATTATTTGTCATTAAATAAGTAGTTTTTATTTGTTAATTATTTAAATTTAAATCAATTAAAAATTTAAAAATAGAATTCATATCAAATTAAACTATATTAAAAATTTATTTGTGAGATATAGTGAATATGTTCTCAAAAATTAACCCAAATTTACTATTATCTTTTTTTTTAATGATTTTTTGTTCAAATTCATAAGTAATAATTTAATTAAATTCATATAAAACACATTTATCATCTTATATGGTCTATTGCATATTATGAGTCCGTGATATTAAAAAAATATAGACAAAACCTATCCTCTATTGCTCAATTAATTATTATTTTAATCTAAATTATTATATCATCACGTTTATGTCCCAAAAATATTTAATTTTATCTCAAGTAAAATATATAAATTTTTTTTCAAGATATAATCTAGTTTACTCTTTATCTTCTTTAATAGTGCATATCATGAGTCTTAAATATATTTATATTTTTCATTTATTTAATTTAGATCAATTAAAATTAAAGTTCAAACAAAATTATTAATTAAATTATCAAAAAATTTTAGAGAAAGAGTAATACATGTATTACGGTAAGTTTGTATGTTTGATTTTTTTATTTTTTTAATAATAAATATACATTTATATGTTTAATGATTGCAATGGTTAATTTATTTTACTATAATATTTCTAATCACTCTATACAATCATGCCTTAACATTACAATGCCTAAATAAATATTTGCTTTATGAGCATAATCTCCCATATGTTACTAAACTTAGATTTTATTTTGTCTTCTATAGATTGATTCTATATTACATCTAAATTAATTTCAGACAATCCTTATTTTTTTTTATTTTTAATTTCAAATATTTTACACTTAAGATATTTTTATGAAATTATAGTCAATATTGTTAAAAATCATTAATCTTGAAGAAAATAAATTATTTGATATACTATTAGTCGAGTTTTTTTAATTCCACAAGTGGGTTAAAAAATTAATACATCACCTACTTATTTTTTCACTTAATTTTTTTTTAATATCACTCACTTATTTTTTCAATTATATTTTTCTAATATATTTTATAGCTTAAAGGGTACATATATTATGCTACTAATTTCAATTGTAAAATTTAAAAACTCTACTATCAATATATTTTATAATTTTTTTCTTGAATAATATAATTTTATTTTTTTCAATTAAGAATGCTCTAAAATATAAAATTATTTTTTTCAATTAAGAATGCTCTAGAATATTTTTGTATTCTAGCATTTATTTATTTATTTATTAAAGATTATTTGTCATTAAATAAATAGTTTTTTATTCATTAATTATTTAAATTTAAATCAATTAAAAATTTACAAATAGAATTTATATCAAATTAAACTATATTAAAAATTTATTTGTGGGATATGATGAATGAGTTGTCAAAAATTAACCCAAATTTACTCGTATTTTTTTTGTAGGATTTTTTTTGTTCAAATTCATAAGTAATAATTTAATTAAATTCATATAAAACACATTTATCATCTTATGGGCTATTAAATACTATGAATCCATGATATTGAACAAAATATAGACAAAACATATCCTCTGTTGCTTAATTAGTAATCATTTTAGTTTAAATTATTATATCATCACGTTTATACCCCAAAAACATTTAATTCTATCTTATGTAAAATATATAATTTTTCTTTTTCAAGATGCAATCTAATCTACTTTTTATCTTCTTGAATAGTACATATCATGAGTCAATAAATATATTTATATTTTTCATTTATTTAATTTAGATCAATTAAAATTAAAGTTCATACAAAATTATTAATTAAATTATAAAAATATTATTGAGAAATAGTAAGACATGTATTACAGTAAGTTTGTATGTTTGATTTTTTTTATTTTTTATAATAAATATACATTTATATGTTTAATGATTGCAATGGTTGATTTATTTTACTATAACATTTCTAATCACTCTATGTAATCACACCTTAATGTTACAATACCTAAATGAATCTTTTCTTTATGAACATAATTTCCCGTATATGTGAATTATTTCTAAATTTATATTTTATTTTATCTTTTATAGATTAATTTTATATTACATCCAAGTTAATTTCGGCCAATCCTTGTTTTTTTATTTTTAATTTCAAATATTTTATACTTAAGATTTTTTATAAAATCATAGTCAATATTATTAAGAAACATTAATCTTGAAGAATATAAATTATTTAATATACTGTTAGTTAAGTTTTTTTTTTTTTAATTTCACAAGTGGGTTAAAAAATTAATACATCACTTATTTATTTTTTCACTTAACTTTTTTTTTTAATATCACTCATTTATTTTTTCAATTAGCTTATTTTAATATACTTTGAAGCTTAAAGGGTATGTGTGTTACACTACTAATTTCAATTGTGAATTTTAAAAACTCCACTATCAATATATTTTATAAGTTTTCTTGAATAATATAATTTTCTTTTCAATTAAGAATGCTTTAGAATATTTTTATATTTTGATAGTGAAAAATATTTTAATCACATAATTAATTATGCACATTTTGTTGAATGATCAAAGTTTTATTAGTTATGTAACCAATTATTATATTCTTTAAATAAATAATGTTATAGTTTATTTTCTGTTATTTGTTTATATCTTTAAGTATATGATTATTGATTTGTACTCTTATCATGAAGGCATCTATTTAATAATTATTTATATTTTATGAGTATTTTTATTATAGATAAATACATGTATCATCTATGATATATACATATAAAAGTACAAACTCCAAATGATATTAAAAGTGATTTTTTAATTTGTTAGACTTCTATTAATAGTACACTACATGCCAATTATGCATGTTCAACGGATTATTCAATTCATTAAAAAAGGAAGACTTACAATTAAACTCATTAGTTGCACGATAAAAATTTGAAGTATGAGGATGCGAACTAAAATATATTTATTTATACAATCTTACAATTAAGATAAAAAATTAATTCAATTGATAATGTTAAATTATATATATACATAAATAAAAGAAATTAATTAATTAATATTTTAGATATATCCTAAAATTATTAAATTAGTCTTTTTATTACCTAATAGGTCAATGTATCATAATATATATGAAAATGATAAAAAAAAAAATGTTAGATGTCAAATAATAATGTGACCTTTATTTATTTTTATTAATTAATGTGTAAAAAGTGCTCCACTTGGAATTTAGCCAATTTTATTATAAAAACCATTTAAATTTTAGCTAAATATTTAAAAAACTCACAAATGTATACATACTTTAGATTTTATAGCCTACCTTGACTAAGATATTTTATAATTAAGAAGATCTTTAATATATATCTATATTATATATAAAATTTGATAATTTGTTAAATTATCTCTATTTATTTTTATTTAATATTTTCTTATTAAAATAGTTTTTATTGGTTAAGTCATTCATGCCTCAATTAGCACAAGCAATACGGATAGAAGGCTTAAAATAGTTTTTCTACAAATGAATAATTTAGTATTTGTAATATATTACACCTATCAATATGATTTACACAATCAAATTAATTATAGAGGATTTACTGGTAAATCAATTATAGCTTAGTGATAAATGTATAATAATATAGTAGCAATTATTGATAATTTTATTATAAATTAGTGATAATTTAAATAAAATCAATAATAAATTTATACTAAATCAATGATAACAGTATAGTAAAATATGAATAACTTAATAATAGAATAATAATAACTTAATTGTAAATAAATAATAATTTAATAGTAAATAATTAATAAAATAGTTGTACGATGACATAATAATAAATACATAATAACATAATAGGAAATAACAAATAACTTAATAGTAAATGATTTATACATAATGGTAAATGTATAACACATAGTAGTAAATTAAGGATAACTTAATAAAAATAAGTGATAACTTAATAGTTAATTATTGATAACTTAATGATAAATCAATGATAACTTAATAATAAATAAGATTCAATTTAATACTCCCTCCATCCCAATAAAATTGTCACATTTTTATTTTTGTTAGTCAATTTTTTTCAATTTTAATCACCTATTATTGTTTACTTATTATTGATAAAAATATGAAAAAAAATATTTTAAAAACTTTAAATGAAGTGTTTTCTAAATATATTTTTGTAAAATTTAATTTATTAAAATATTTAAAATAATAGATGTCAAAGTTAAAAAATTTTAGCCAAAAAAATCATAAATAGCTTAGTAATAAATAAATGATAATTTAATAGTAAATAATTTATAACTAAGTAGTAATTAATAATTAAAAATTAACAGTAAATCAATATAACTTAATAATAATCATCAATAAATTAATAGTTAATCAGTAATAATATAATCGTAAATGCATAATAACTTAATAATAAATCAATTATAATATAGTTGTAAATACATAATAACAAAGTTGTAAATTAATGATAACTTCATAAAAAAAATGATAACTTAATAGTTAATCATGGATAATTTAGTAGTAAATCATTGAAAACTTTGTAGTAAATTAGTGATAGCATAATATTAAAATTAATTTTAGTTTAATAGTAATTAAATTATAAATTTAGTAGTAAATCATAAATAATTTAGCGATAAATTAATAATAATTCAATAGTTAATCACTGAAACTCAATAGTAAATCAATGATAACAAAGTAGCAAATGCATAACAGTGTAGTAGTAAATCATTAATAATTTATATGTAAATTATCGTTAACTTAGTAATAAATCACTAATAACATAATAGTAAAACACTGAAAACTTAGTTATAAATCAGTGATAATTTAATTATAAATCAATGATAATTTAGTTATAAATTAGTTAATTATTAATAACTTTATAGTAAATCATCAATAACTTTATAGTAAATCATCAATAACTTTATAATAAATTATCAATAATTTAGTAATAAATCATTTATAACTTAATAGTAAATCATCTATAATTTAGTGATAAATTAATGATAATTTAATAGTAAATTAGTGAAAGATAGTAGTAAGTGACTAGTAATTTATTTGTTAATTAGTAATAACATTTTTTTTATACTTAAAGTTACCGATGATTGAACCTTGGTTATTAGAAAGAAAAAATGATTAGGATAAACCTAACATAAGCTTATTCATTTAAAAAATTTAATAAAAAAATTTTAAATTTGAACGAAACAATAATGTTATGTTATATAAAAAGAAAATTATCACATATATTGTAATTAATTGATAAAATTAATAGTAAATCATAAATAACTTGGTAGTAATTCAATGATAAATTAGCAGAAATAATTGATAACTTAATAGCTAACTATTGAAAACTTAGTAATAAATCAATGGTAATTAGTAAATGCATAATCATATAATAGTAAAAAATTGAATTTAGTAGTAAATCATTAATAACGTAATAATAAGTCACTTATAACTTAGTTGTATATTAATGATAATTTAGCAGTAAATTTATTAATCATTGATAATTTTGTAATAAATCATTGATAATTTCATATTAAATTAGTTATAACTTTATAATAAATTACTAATAATTTAGTACTAAATCATCAATAACTTAATAATAAATCATTCATAACTTAATAGTAAATCATTAATAATTTAATAATAAATCATTGATAACATAGTAATAAAACAGTAATAACTAAATTGTCAATCAATGATAAATTTTTGTAGATTTGAAGTTTTTAGGGATTGAACTTTGGTTGATAGCAAAAGATAAGTAAAAACTTATTAATAAATCATTTATACTAATAAATCATAGTTAACTTACTCATAATTTATTGATAACTAAATGCTAAATCACTTATAATTTAGTTGCAAATCAATGATAATAATAAATCAATAATAATTTATTAGTAAATCAATTTTAGCTTAGTAGCAAAGTCTAGATAACTTAATAGTAAATTATTCATATTTTAATAATAAATTAGTTATATAACTTAGTAGCAAATCATAGATAACATATAATAGAAAATCATTACTAACTTAATAGTTTTTTTTGTTGAATATTGATATAGAGCTATATTTTTTAATATGTCTAACATATTTAATTTATTTAAAAAATTATACTAATTGCCATTTAATACTAAGGTATTGAGTTACAATATTTGTGGATATTGTACACATATATAAATAATTAAAACAATATTTATGTACCAATTTCTATAACAACATATTTTTATTAAAAATATCAAATTTTGAAGTGAAAAATTGGAATAACTTTATCTATATTTGTATGTTATTGATTGTCTATTTGATAAGATATTAATAGTAGCTAGATTAACACTATATCTTTACTATAATAAATTGTTGTGTTTTATGGTATTATTTATAACATTGATAGCAATTATACAAAAATTATTGTTTTTAAAGATATTTTTAAAATGAAAGAGAAAAATAATGAGTATAAATTTATTGGAAAACACTATAGAAAAACTACCAATTAGTTATTTTCTCAGGTACATAATATTTTAAATTAAAATATATGATCTAATAATACTAATAATAGTATGAATTCTATAAATCATAATTTTATAACAATATCGTTTGAATAATGAATTTTTTATATGATTTATACTGGATATATAATGAAGTATTTATCGAATAACGAAATTACTCCTTTTTAATTAAAAAAGAGTTCAAATATTAAAAATATATTCACTATCAATTTTAAAATCTAAGATTTAAAACATAGTTTACCTTCAAAATATATCTTTTGATATTTGTCTTAAATAGGTTATATCTTATTAATTTTAAAATTATGATACTTCATTATTTAACAAACAATAATAATATTGAACCAAAGTTAATTGAAAAAAATATTTCAATATTTAAAGAACAACATAAAAAACTATTTGATTATGATAAGGTATGCCTTTAAGTAAAGTTTGTTATTTAAACTCTTAGTATAACATATTTTAATAAGTTATGTATATTTAATGGCTTTTTAAGAAATTAGTATTCGATACTAAAAGTAATTTTAGTCAATATCCCTTGTAAATACATAACTAAATATCATTGATTATTATATCGAAATACTAATAGTTTTTTATTACTTCATATATATATTTAGAATATATTTATAAATTAATATTTTTAATTAGTAAAATTCATGTAAGTATGCATTTTTTTACTATAAAATGAAATTATAAAATGATTTATGTTACATAAATAAGTACATGTTAAAAACAAAAGTTAGTAATGAAAAATATATATATATATATATGTACTTTATTTCTAGCAACAAAAACTTTACAACAAATTGGTTTCAAATCAAAATAAAGAATTTAAATTTTTAATAGCAAATAGATGAAGTAATAGTTTAAATTAGTTCGGCAATGATCAATTGCCTAAAATTTTATAAAATTGAAGATAAAAATCCACCATTAAAAAAGCTTTAAAAAGCTCAAGAAAAAAAACATAAAATAGAGAAAAAATACAAAATCTAATTTGATTGTGATAAAAGACAATCTTTTATAGTCGAATAATTAAATATATATATATATATATATATATAAAATGAAGATGATGACTTAACACTAGAAAACTTAAAAGAAAACTTCTAAAAAGAATCAAAATAAAGAAAGATTAAATGTTTATTTTTTATTGGAATTTTAATTTTAATTTTTTGTTATATTTATTTTTTTAAACTTAAATTTACATTTTCAATTTAATTTACTATGATAATAATTATTTTAATTTTATTATTATAAATTATTAAAATTATTACATTATATTATAATTATAATTTGGTTAACAATCATATGCATCGCCCTTGAAACAAAACTAATATTAATTAAATTAAACTCTAAATTTTATAAATGGTATGACAACTCAAGGTTCAATGTCTAAAGCCAAAAAATAGTGTTAGGAACTCTTTATCATGTCCATTTTTGACATCTCAAAATTGGATATCTATACTAAATCCAAAAGCTTTTCATTATTATTAATTGTGTGACAGTTGCATTGATTGTCACTAGAAAAGGATTCAGCACTTCAACTTATTTTCGAGATATCATTAATCATTTTGAAGTTATTCATTTCCAAATTGTTCAATATGAGCAAGATGATGGGGTACATATCTATAATCTGAATATTTTCAAGTTATATACAAGTATCAAAATTAGAATGGTGTGGAAAAAATGGAAATACACTTTGGGGAAGGGGGGCTACAGTATTGTCCTTTTATAGGGTAAGGGTAAAAGAGAAGATGCTTTAGAGTCTATTCTTTATTGTGACGACAAGCACAACTGGACCATTGAGAAAGGGGGAGAGGAAGGCCCTAAACAAGGACACATAAAAAGGATACTTATCTACTCATTAGCTTTAAGAAGCATTGAGGAAAAATGAAATGAAAACGATCGGTGTCCCATGTGAGGCTGCTGTCCATTTTGGGATGTCGCCAATATAAATGGGCGCACACTCGTGGGGTATTTTCCGGATGAAAACTGACACATCCGAAGCTCAACTCTGCAGCAGCCGGCATGTGCTTTGGTTTGGTTTGGTTTAAGTCTTAGGCCTCTGTGTTAGGTCAGCCAGGGGCATGTCCTAAAAGCTACAAAAGCTAAAACTCTACATCCGAGAAAACTCGGCTCACATTTTTAGACCGTGGCCTGATTATATGCCCCCAAAACTGGATGTTGGGGGCTGCGGGCCCCCTTTTGCTTGGGTATCCCCCATTCCTCCGAATTTTGCACTCATGGCCCCTCTTTTCAGTTTTCCTTTTCTTCTTGGCTAAAGAACCTTTGCTCTGTTCCTGGTAAATCATACTTCCAGCTAGTCCCTTCGTCCTGGAGTAATGGATTAGTTTTTGGACATTTGATGGAGTAATACGATAGTGCTATATATCCTATTCTGGCACTCCAAAAAAAAAAAAATTCTACTTACGTACCTTTCATCTTTATCTAAAGATTTGGTTCTTTGAGAAAATTTCTAATCTTAATCCATTTGAAATTAAAACTGTTACTATCATTTGCACCATTATTAAAAGGAATATTTTGAATATTAAAACTCACCTCTACCTACCCCTCACCAAAAAGAGAGAATAAGTTGCTCCAAGGAAGACAGCAAGACAAGTTACTACTCTATTTATTTCAATAATCGGTGATAATTGAACAATAATCAACTATAACTCTGACAGCTTGTGATGCATAATGTTGTGTGCTGACAACCAATGTTCTTGGATGACGCTAAGCATCTTTGAAAATATCTTTGCTTCTTGGATAGAGTTTATTGTAACTTGATCTAGACCTCTGGGAGACTACAAATGGTGGAACATAAAGTTTAATACGGAGATACAGACATGAAAATCGGCAACATGCATTTTCATCTAATGGAATTGCCGGGCAGATTCCTACTTTGTGTACAACAAGACGATGGGGTTGGATTAATTCTTGTTCAAAGCGAGGAATGGAGCTTTGGAGAGGACATGTAGGTAAGTATGCTTACTAGCGAGGATATGGAATTCAACGCCACCTTTAACACTTCTTGTGAACAACCTGGTTTAACCATCCTCTTCACCTGAGAAATTCCAAGCTCCAGGTTAACCTCACGTTTAGACTTGTCTTAAGTTACAAAGGTTTTTAATATACACAATTTGATAATGTATCCTCACAAGGAACAAAACTAGATATGCCCAAATATTTCAAAAAAAGACCTAGATATGCCCATGCTGTAAAAATCAGAACATTGCAGTCAAATCTTGATATAAAAGATAGACAGAGATATAAGAAACTAAGCATTCTCAATAGGGAGTAAGGAAAGAATCTCATTGAGTTTAAAGAGCATGATCAGTCAGACTATGGACCCATTAACTAGAAACCTTACATTAAACATACTTCCAAGCTGAAAATATTCATACTTAAACTAAACATGGTAGTACTCCTAATCAATGGGATACTTCTAGCTACACAAATCTTCTTTCTGCCCGTCAGTTGGGCCAAAAACTGTTTGCCTCGCAAAACTTATTTACAGGCTGTCCTTCCTCGCTAACTTTGTGCAAATTCTCAATTTCTCATGTGTGATCTCAGAGGCCTTGAAGAAAGGTAGAATTCATGTTTGTTAGACACACACATTTACCAACTAGCCACACTCTGAGAATTAACAGAATTTTACAAACGAAAATTTTAAAAGATGAAAAAAAGAACAGGTGAATGAAAAAAAAGGTACCATGTCAAAATAATCCTGAAATTCCTTTATCTTTCTGATGTGATCTTCATCCTGTCTGTGCAGATCCATGAACACCATACTGGACTCTGGTTCCTCCAACAATGAGGATCCTGCTCCTCGATAGAAGTCATCCATCATATTGCTTATGTCTTCTGATTCTTTTTTCTGCTCCCAGGATAGACAATAGTCATAGAAAGTCTAACAATGGTATATTGCATTAATCACAGTATTTTGGCTTTTATCTCGTGGATTTAGGCAGAGCTAGTGCCACCAAACTACATATGCTTGCTTGCTATTGATTAGGAATAGAAGAAAAGGCAAACCAAATAAATAAAAAGTGAAGAAACAAAGAAAGAGGATACACCTCAATAAGGATTGTGTGCGAGTTATGTCAAGAATAAGACCATACTCCATCCTCCCATGCATAGACTTAGTGAAGGAGATGTTTATGTCTATTTCAAGCAAATTTGCGACTTTGGTTTGCTTGAGAAACACAGAATTTAGTTCACTAGCTCAAGGAGTTGCACATATTATTAGACGATACCTTATCAATGAAAACCAAAAAATGAAAAATCTGTTCTTTCAGCTTAGCAAGTTGTCCAGCCTAAGGATTTATGAATTATGACCCAACACAGAAATCTCCCTGTTATTGCAAATGTGGACTATGTACCAAACCATCTTACACCAGAGAAGGTCACTAAAATCTCCCATATCACAACAATTATTCCAAACAGGCCAAAAACTCACCTCAGCATCTACTGCATCAATGGTGTTCCATGTTCCATGGTAACATGCTAGTTAAATAGTAAATTTTTAAAAACCACCATGAAATCCTCAGATTCTAGCATAAAACTATGTAAAGGAATAAAAATCCCATTCAAGTTAACTCGTGTAGAATGGTCTTTATCTTAAACTAACTCAGTATCAGAAAACAAATCAGTCAAACACCTTGATGCCAATAAAAATAAAGTACCATGCTTTGCATACGCAGAATAGGTATGCATGATCCAGATTAAATAAAACCCAATTGAGGAAAGTAAAGATTTGGGTTCTTTCTGCTTTGCACCGTTGTATCAAACTGATAGAGAGAAAGTTTTTAGATAAATAATTAAATTTACCAATTAAACTGAAAATTTTCAAGCTGAATGAGAAAGTACCAGCTTCGTTGAAGAACCAAGAGTTTCAAAGGAATCCATTTTCGTTTAAAAGACTTGAACTTTCTTCAAATTCGGCAATCCGCCCCCTCCAGCTCCACCATGTAAAAGGCTCAAAGCTGACAGTTTCATTTCTTTTCTTTTCTTTTCTTTTCTTTTCTTTTCATTTTTAATCTTCCCCTTAGCCAATCACCACGTAACACGGGTAAATATCAAATTACAAGTTTATCCCTTATTTGAGTGGGCTTAATATTGGGCTTCATTTGAAAGCCTTCTGTAAATGCAGAAATTTCAAATAAATGTGACAGGAAGAAATAATATTCATATTCAAAGCATGCTTTATTAAGCATATTTTATTCTTAACATTTGCTAATCATCAAATATTATCAAGAGAGAAACTAAATCCACTTAGGGAACAAGTAATTTTGAGGAACCAACGGATCGTGGTGACTGATCATCTTCATGGTCGCAGTAGCCTTCAAGAACGTGGGTCTCTTCCTTGGTAAAGCCTAGTGCATCGATCATGCTCGGCCAGCATTGATGGCTTATGGTACGAATTGCTTGGCAGCAGCTGTGTCCTAGGTCGGTCTCACCGTTCAGGAAAAACATAATGAGCTCTCCAGTGCATGATTGGAGCTGAATCAACGAGTCCCAGCAGTTGGTTGATTCCTCATCCAACTTCAACCGAGCCATGAGGTCGGTTGTTGTTGTTGGCTCGAAGTCGTCCACTTGCCTTGCGTTGGCCATGAAAAGCAAGCTCAATGCCAGCAGAAATGCAAAAAAGAAAACCCTGAAGGAAATGGAAGCCATTTCTGAGACTGAAAAAGATAGAGAGGTAATGAGATAGATTGATGTGGGAGAGAGATGCGGAAAAGACCATGTGAATTGTTTTGGTTTATATAGGGATGGAACCATTTATGAAGGAAAACTCAGGAGTCTAAGGAGATTGTGCTTGTGTTATTAGAAGCTGATGAGACTTCATCAGTTTTGCTTCATGAATGACATCTCACTACATTGCAATTGAAGATGTAAAACCTTTTAATTTAACCAACAGTTACTCAACTTTTTATCTATTTGAACTGGAAAGTTATGGCATGAACAAAATAAAAGAAACTATATTTGTAAAAGAAAATTTGGCGTGTTTTTTCTTAAATCGGAAGGATCGCATTGAGCTGCTTAGAGCCAACATCACCATTTCTTTGGTAAGTCAGTCTACGTGACATGATGGGGTTGTTCCGTAAATCGATACAGAATCTTTGTAATTTTGAGCCAAAAGCAAAGCAGAGGACGATCTTGTTGGACTGTTTTTTCGGATTTTATTATATTTCAAAAGAAATTAAAAAAAAAGCACAAGCCAATTAAAAATTAAAAAAATGAAGAAAAAAAAAACTTATATTAAAAAGGTTTTCATAAACAAATAAACAAATGAAGTTTTTTCACAGGCAAAAAATGTACTCACCAGCTTACTAAAGTAAACAAAGAGAGCTGGCACGTACTTGTCTGAGTGAGCAATGTGGGCCACAAGTCCATCGACATTTTCATGTCATTGGTTATTTCGCCTTGGCTTGCGTTATCTTTTGCACTTTACAAGAAAGACCATTGCTGCAAGTAAAGAGGATTGTAAGACAAGATATGAGCTCCTCCATGGGGGAGGGAGCGAAGCTAGCCACTCTTGTCTTCCAACCAATTACAGCTTCAAAGAAGAGCTGCAGCCTGCAGGCTTCGGGCCAGCCGCTCATGTCCCTCCTTTGGGGGTTGGTCCCGCAGCGCCAGGGTTCAAATCCTGGGTCCTGCTCTATCTTGCGGGTTTATCCCCTATTACCATAGAAGTATGGGGGTCGATCGGTTGCTCCCTTGTTTTGCCGAGAAGTATGGCGCTCTTCGTTTCTCTTTTCTGATTTTATTTTAAGCTCGATGTAATATTCATCTTTACCTTTTTAATTTTTGGGTATAGGAATATATTTCCAAATTTTAAGTAGCATGAAATTTGGAGATATGAGGCTGACCATGAAAGCCCACCCAAGCCAAGCACAGTTAAAGAGTTTGTGCGTGAATCTAATGTTTCAGAGTCAAGACAGTTGATGCGTGAATCTAATGCTTCAGAAATTTCTATTATTTCTGCCCTTCCGTTTGTTTCATACATGCAGCCTGAGGATCAGATGACATCAGATAACTCATATATATATATATATATATATATGTGTGTGTGTGTGTGTCTGTAATTCTCTTTATTTCGCATTCAAAACTTTGGGTTTTGGTGATTTTAAAGAGGAATCTTGTCTGTTTCAAACAAAAGTATCACTAGAAGCAGGAGATCTAGCCAACTAGGTTGTCATTGTGGAACAAAGAATGAGCAATGAGAAATGGAAAAACCAAGAAAAAAGTATATGTGTTTGATTATGTATGTAATTTCAGCTTTCTCATTTGATCATGGTACTTTTGATTGTATATTTGATGATATCTTTTACTTTCTTATTAGAAAATTTAAGAAACGTAATTTGAGTTTCTATATGCCGATGGTGAAGTGAAATGAATACACAAGTGAAAGAAATTAATCACGTCCTTCGTGAATAAATATTGGGGAACACCGATAACATTTGTTGAAGAATATCGAATATAACAGATATCATTTGTTGGAGAACATCACAGCTCTGATATCATTTGTTGGATTAAAAGCTTTCAATTCAATCACACCAGCGGAAGCGAAATCAAACAATAAATTAAATATACAAGAGACAACAATTTAACGTGATTCGATCTAACTGATCTACATCCACGGATGAGAAACAAGATCTACTAATTGAGAAAATTACAAACATACATCAAATCATCAACCTCACTCAATAATCAATACTCATAAGACACTCTCAATCTCCTCTAGTCCTATGAAGTATTCTCAACTCAAACAAACACAAACCTAAATCCTTATGCACCCTTTCAATATAACCAAACACATACCCATATGCTCTCATACATTATACCTATGTGGACCCTCTCAGTCTCCTCTAGTACACTCACAAACAAACATATACACAAATATATACATCCATAAGACCCTCTCCTTTAGTACACTCACAAACAAACATATACACAAACATATACATCCATAAGACCCATATGCTCTCATACATTATACCTATGTGGACCATCTCAGTCTCCTCTAGTACACTCACAAACAAACATATACACAAATATATACATCCATAAGACGTAAAGCCCCAATACTCCTATGAGGTGTCTATCCCACAAAACCTTACAACTCTCTTACATTTTTTCTCATACCTAATCCTGTAGAGACTTCACCTATTTATAACCATACAAACTTGCCCATTAAGAATCCTTCTCTTTTTAGAATTCTTCTCCTGTAAGTAAACTTACCTATTAAGAATCTATTTCCTTTTAGAATTCTTCTCTTTCAAGTTAAACTTACCTATTAAGAATTCTTTCTCTTAGAATTCTTCTTTTGTAAGTCTTCTTATCCATCAAACAATATCTGACAAATCTCAAATAAATCTCTAACAAATCACAAACAAATCTCTTATGAGATTTGAGTCAATATTCGCCACATAAAACACTTATGTGTTTTAACAAGACAAAACAATATTTTCATATTTAAAGTTAGAAGAAAGAATCTGTATTTTGTTATTCATGTCTAAATTAAATTTTAAGTTTTTTTTTACTCCTTTTTATTTAATAAATATTAAATATATGTATATTGAGTTTTTTTTTTTTTATAAACTTAAGAAATATATTGTGATTTAAGACGCAATGATTTAAGGAGAATTGAAAATATTTCTTAAGGTTTAAAATATGACACATAATTATTATCTTTTTTTATTTTAAATCGTTATTGTTTTTTTCAAATTTTTTCTTTTATTGCTTTTCTTCTCCTTTGTCAGCAATCCTCTCTTTCTCTCTCTTTTTTTTCTTTTATCTATCAATTGTTCCAAAGTAATTCTCTGCAGCTCATGTTACGTCCACTTGAAAAATTTTGAAAGTTTTGTCCTTCACTTGAAATTCACCATTTGTAAAACATCCATTATGACCTGCATCACTACCAGGATGTTTTTTATTTTTCTCGTTTTCCTTTTGTTAACCCTTTTTTTTTATCTGAAGTACGGAAAAGAACACAAATAGAGGAAAACACAATGTAAGACAGCTGTAAAATGTTCAAAATCCCTGGTGATGATCATATAAAAAGGAGGAAGAGCCAACCTTGGTATCAAAATTTGATAAGCCTATCAACACTCCATAAAAAGATTACTTTTTTTAGAAAGAGAAAATAATGAAATGCTGACAGAGCAAAAATCGAAAAAAAAATGATTTTCAGCATAAAAACAATAAAATAATTCATAAGCCATTTTTAATTTTAGAGTGCACTTTCATGCCTTACTAAATCATAGTGGTTATTTATGAAGTTAACCCATTTTTTTTGTATGACTTATAAATGGAGTTTATAAGGTAATTGAATGCTTTAAAATTATTTTTAACTCTAAGCATCATTTTTCAAGAGAATAGTCAGAAGGCAATCAATTATTGGTAAAACTAAAAATATGTCCATTTATTTATTTGGTGCTGTTTGATATTATTTTTATAAAACATTATTATAATAATTTAATCACTGAAATTTTCTTATTGCTAAGATAATCTTATCATTTATAATATAAAATTATTTTATTTTGTTAAGAATTATTAATTTTAAATAATTAAAGATTACTTTGTTTACTATTATTAAATATCAAACATTATTTTATTTGAAAATATTAAAATAATCATGCACATTATAATAGTTAAATAAGTTAACGATTTCAATATTATTTAAAAATAATAATTTATAAAATATTAATAATATTTTATTTATTTCATAATAAAATAGAATTAAATTATTAAATTAAAAATATATATTTATTAATAGGTAAACTAGTTTTTATATTATAAATTATGTCAAATTATTTGAATTAAAAAAATAAAACCAACCTATTAAAATCAAAAGATTATATTTATATATAAATTAAAAATTTTAAAAATACACAAATTATTTTTGAACTTTTTATAATGAATATTAGTTTGTAAATGTAAAAATTTATAATATAAGATATGTACAGTTAGTTTTTAGAAAAATCAAAATTTTAATTCACATATTAAATGAGTAATATTAACTATTATTAATTTTATAAATCACTTAACCATAATAATAAAAGCTTCTTACCTTTTATTTTTATAGAAATTATATTACTTTCCAAGGTAATGATCTAATCATTTTCAATAATCTAATACCACTATCACGTAATAATAAATAATTGTAAAAAATGATAATCTAATCACTATATATAAATTTACCATAATTTTTTGAATGATTACCTCATACCAAATAATAAAGATGATCCATTTAAATTTTATAGTAATCTACACTCAGTAAATACATCATCGTATTTGGTAATAATTTATAATTTGAATATGACAATGATCTTAAATCACTTAGGTGATAAGATCACTATGTTAGAAAGTAATTTAATTTATAATCTAAGATAATATTTGATATCATTTTCAATATTACTATGGTGATTTAGTTACCAAGATGATCTATAATCACTTTGTTTGATTATGACTCATTAATTCGTAGTAATTAAATATCATTGCATTTAGTATTACTAAAAATCAAATATTATTTTTTTAAAAGTACCAAAATAACCATTCATATTATAATAGTTACAAAATTAATGATTTCAATATTATTTAAAATTAATAAATTGTATATAAAATATTAGTAATAATTTATTTACTTCATAATAAATAAATTAAATTATTAAATTAAAAATATATTTCTTGATAGTAAACTAGTTTTATAGAATAAGTTATGTAAAAAAAATATTTGAATTAGAAAATAAAACTAATATATTAAAATCAAAAGATTATATTATACATGAATTTAAGAAATTAAAAAAATCATACAATATATTTTTGAACTTGTTATGATGAATATTAATTTAAAAATATAAGAATTATAATATAAAGTAATAACAATTAATTTTAAGAAGAAGTTAGTTTTTAATTAACATATTAAATGGTAACTATTGTTAATTTTACATATTATTTTATTTTGGTGATAAAATTTTTTTTCTCATTTAAATGAAAATTAGATCAATTTCTAAGATAGTAATCTAATCACGTTATTGATTCAAAATCACTGTCATATAAGATAATTAAATCGTTACTAAATTCGATGATCTAATGCATAGATCATCATGATTTTTTTAGTGATAGTAAATTTTATAATAAGAAAGTAAATTCTAATATTATTTTTGATTAATTTACCCATAGTTAATATTACCTAAAAAAGCCGGTCACTAAAAATTATAAAAAATCATATTTTTTAATCATTTATTCTAAAAATGTTTTATGTTATAAATTTATATTAATTAAAAAAATTATTTAATAAGTTTTTGAGAAATTATCTTTATCACATATTATTTATATTTTATAATTTTCTATAAAATAACATTTAAGTATTTTATAAATTATTTATTCAATAAATATTAAATATTTTATACTGTATGATTTATTTTTTCATATAATATCAAGTATAATAATTTAAAATCACTTTAATACTTTTATAACATAATAATTAAATCACTATAGTAACCTTAAAAAATACTTTAGTTATTTTAAAAAGTTTCCCTCAAATGCGTAACAGAAACTACAACACAGTCAGGGCTGGCTCAGCTAGCCCCAGTAAAGGCCGGAGGTGCAGCGGAAAAAAGAATCCCAACGTGGCGTAATTGTAACCTAAGTCTATGCCAAGTCGACAGCCCAAATTAAATGATTTCCTCAATTAATTATACATTAATTCGGCCGAAAATCATAACCAAACCCAGTACATGATTTAATTAATTAAACACAAAATCTAAAAATAATCTAAAATTAAATGATCTGAAATTTAAAACTTTGATTTATGAGTATGACACTCTTCTGTTTGTCAGGACCTGAAGATATTCAAATCATACCTTGTATAAAATTCTTTTTTTTTTTAAATTTTTTTAATAAAAGATAATCAAACCAGAATTAATACTCAGTTGTCATTAGCTATTACAGATATAAATGTGTTAACCCTCCCATATTTATTAGCGACATCATGGAATTCTTGACATGACACTATTTAATGTTCATAATAAATGTCAATATCCATTTATTTCATGGTCATTGGAAGTAAATTTTACGTATTTAGATATTAGTAAATATCTTACTTTGAGATAATAATAATAACAATTATTCTTGGAAAAAAAAATTATTAATTTAAATTATGTTTTGTCAATACGACTTTAAACCAGTTATTACTTTTCTTGAAATGAACCTTTTTAGGGTTTTTTTTTTTTAATGAGTGGGCTAATTAAACTTATTACTATAATTTAATACAAAAATTTTATTTTTTGATATTTAATTTAAACTTGACAAATATTTTTTAGTTAGTATATTATAAATAACAGCTTTCAAAGTTAATAATAATTGTGCAAAAGTAACATCTTAATATATTGTTTTAATCAAATAAAAATCTCATAATATAACTTTAAAATTGGATTTTTTTTATCTTATATTTTCAAGGTAATAAGTTATGAAATCCTCCGCCCATTCCTCACACTTTCCCCACATTCCGAAACGTGTCCAAGCTCCACCTTCCTCGAACCCACCGAAGTTTCTGGAATTTATCAGATTTCTTTTCTCAGTTTCCCTCCACTTTCCTTAATATAGCGTATGATTATTTTAATTTCACCTAATCTTTTACCAACTGTTAAAGCAAAGGTATTTCAGTAATTTCACTTTTCCATCCCCTTTATAAGAATCCACGATTCTTTGCCTCCTTGTCCAGTTTACTCGAAAAACTATCGCCAACTTCCATTTTTCTTTCTATTTTCTTTTTGTTTGTATTATCTGGTGGTGGTTGCTGAGTGAGTAAAGCGCGAGTTCGAATTAATCCCTAGTTGTGCTCCCGTGTCCAATGGAGAGAGGCGGCGGTTATGGAGGAAGAGGAACTGGTGGACGAGGTGGTTACCGAGGAAGAGGAAGAGGAAGAGGAAGAGGAAGAGGAAGAGGAAGAGATGGCAGCGGCGACCAGCAGCTGCCGCATCAGACTGTTTTAGCTCGAGGACAAAGTGGGGCCCACTGGAATCCAACTAACACTCAAGTGGGTCCTTATGAAGGAACGGAACAGGGCGGCGCCGCAAGAGGTGGTTACACTGGTGGTGGTCACGGTGGCATTGGTGGAAGGGCAGGGTGGGTCCCTCGCCCTCAATCGGAGAGACCGGATTATAGTTATGCGGGGGAATCGGCCAGAGGCGGTAGCGGTGGACCTGGCGGCGGACCATGGGGGAGAGCGCGGAGGCCTGCTGCTGCTCCATCACCGGGGCCTCAAGTTAACGAACCGGCATTGCCTCTTAGTCCTACACAACCTCTCCCTGGTATAAATCTTTTTCATCTGACTCTGTTTTCCAACGGACCAAACTTTTCTTTTATGTTGATGAAGTTGGACATCAATTATTTTAACATAGCAAAATAAGGTCTTGCATTTGATTATCTAAAGTTCTGTAGAAAAATTTGCTAAGACTTTAGGCTTGATTTTTATTTGTAATTAATGTTTGGATTTGAGGTTTTCTTTTGAGAAATATTTTGCCTTTTTTTTTTCCATTGCAGAATCTGTCGTTATGAATGTTTCGGAGCAGTTGGCTTCTACATCATTATCTCCTGAGAATAGGAATAGACATAATCCAATTATGCGACCAGATAGAGGTGGAGTAGCAGCTGTCGCAACTGTTAGGCTTCATGTCAATCATTTTCGGGTCGAGTTCAATCCTGAGAGTACCATAAGGCACTATGATATTGATGTCAGGCCAATGGAGTCTCCCAGGCATGGTCGCCCTGTGAAACTATCGAAGTCACTGTTGTCTACGATCCGGAAAAAACTTTTCACTGATAATCCTTCTCAATTGCCACTGTTGATGACTGCATATGATGGTGAAAAGAATATATTTAGTGCTGTTCGACTACCTGAAGGAGAATACAAAGTGGAATTGTCCGAGGGGGAAGACATGAAGTCTCGTAAATTCATGTTTTCTATAAAGCTTGTGAATGAGCTCAAGCTTTGCAAGTTGCGGGATTACTTGACTAAGAACGCCTCCTCAATACCTCGTGACATATTACAGGGGATGGATGTAGTTATGAAGGAGAATCCAGGTTTGCATATGATTCCGGCCGGTCGAAGCTTCCATCCTGCTGAATCTAGTCCAGAAGATGATCTTGGCTTTGGCATCACAGCATCCAGTGGAATCCAATATAGCCTCAAACCCACATTCCAGGGTCTGGCACTTTGCCTGGATTATACTGTTTTAGCATTTCGTAAGAGAATGCCAGTTATAGAATTTCTAGTGGAGCACATTTGTGGTTTTAATGTGAATAATTTTGGAAGGTTTAGGCGAGATGTTGAGCAAGTGCTGAGAAACTTGAAGGTTACTGTAACCCATCGACTTACCAAACAAAAATATCCTATAGTTGGGTTGACCACTCATAATACCATCAATATTTCATTTCCAGATGCAAATGCTCCACAAGAGCGTATTAGACTTGTTGATTATTTCAGGGAGAAATACAATAAGAATATCACCTACTTGGATATTCCTTGCCTAGATTTGAGCAAGAACAATCGGATGAACTATGTCCCAATGGAGTTCTGTGTCTTAGCTGAGGGGCAGGTCTATCCAAAGGAGAATTTGGATCGAGAAGCAGCCTATTTATTGAAGGAGATATCACTGGCAAAACCACATGTAAGACAGAGCAAGATCTGTGGAATGGTTCGATCCGAAGATGGACCTTGTGGGTATGTATGCACAACAATTGAGCCTTCTATTTCTTTGTTTGCTTTCACGAGTTGTCTGTTTTGTTGCTTTCGTTTGTGACAAAACATTTTTTTTCTTTGTTATTGCAATTATTATTTTCACAACATTAATTTTCTGCTTTATGACACGATGATAATTCTTGAACTTTTGAGCAATGGGTTGCATTTGCTCTCTGTCCTTTCTAAAAAATTGTAATTAATTTTTTGGTCTATATCCAACATATAAGTTAAGGCAAACATCGTTGTGATGATGTAATTGTTTAACATGCTGTGAAGCCAATTTGACTAGCCTCACATTCAGTTGTGAATTTCATGCCATGATCGTGAATACTAGTAGTGAGCCACCATTGAAATTTTCTTTCTTGCATAAGTGCCTTGATCAATAACTTTTGCTTATGCTCTTGATAGAAAGTGTACATGTTAAGGTTATTCTTCATTTCATGCTTAAGAATTAAGATGATTATTTTGTTTGTCTGATGCCTGGGTATATATGAAAGGAATATCCTATATAATTGCTATCTGAAAGTTGCATGTATCATCCTATACTAAAACCATCATATTGGAAAGGTCACCTGTAATATGAATTTGGCTTTGCATTGTTTTTATTGTCTTCTGAAAATCTTATTTATTTCTGGCAGTGGAAACATTATCCAAAATTTTGGAATTGAAGTCGATACTAGGATGACACCAGTGATAGGACGTGTGATTGGGCCTCCAGTTTTGAAGCTGGCTGCTTCTACTACTGGTAAATTGATGAAGATAACAGTTGACAAACTCAACTGCCAATGGAACCTGGTTGGAAAAGCTGTTGTGGAAGGCAAATCAATTGAGCGCTGGGCTGTGATTGACTTTAGCTATGCTGATCGAGCCAGACTGAATTATGATTCATTCATTCCAAAGCTGAGAGAAAGGTGTAGGAGTCTCAGGATGAAAATGGAGGAGCCTCTTTTATGTCAAAAGACTCGAATGCAAATATTTTCTGATGGTAATGCACTTCGCCAACTACTTGAAGAAGTTACTAGTCGAGCTTATAAGCTTGGTGGAGGAAATTTGCAATTTCTACTTTGTGTTATGTCGAGGAAGGATGATGGCTACAACTATCTTAAGTGGGTCTCTGAGACTAAAATTGGTGTGGTGACTCAGTGTTGTCTGTCCAACCATGCAAACAAAGGGCATGACCAATACCTTGCTAATCTTGCCCTGAAAATCAATGCCAAGCTTGGGGGCAGCAATGTGGAGCTGAATGACAGGCTTCCACACTTCCGGGGTGAAGGCCATGTTATGTTTGTGGGAGCAGATGTTAATCATCCTGGCTCTCATAATAAGACTAGCCCATCTATAGCTGCTGTAGTGGCCACAGTAAACTGGCCCGAAGCTAATCGTTATGCAGCAAGGGTTCGTCCCCAGAGCCATCGCAAAGAAAAGATACTGCAGTTCGGGGAAATGTGTTTAGAGCTTGTTGAATCTTATGCTCGTCTAAATAATGTCAAACCAGAAAAAATTTTGCTCTTTCGTGATGGGGTCAGTGAGGGGCAGTTTGATATGGTTCTCAATGAAGAGTTAATGGATATCAAGAGTGCATTTGGGAAAATCAATTACTTTCCTACAATCACGCTTATTGTTGCTCAGAAGCGGCACCAAACTCGTTTCTTTCCAGAGGGCAAGAAAGATGGGGGTCCCTCTGGTAATATTTCCCCGGGCACAGTTGTTGACACTCAAATTGTGCACCCGTTCGAATTTGACTTCTATCTTTGTAGTCACTATGGAAGCATTGGTACTAGCAAGCCCACCCACTACCATGTGTTGTGGGATGAGCACGGGTTCTCTTCTGACGAGTTGCAGAAGCTTATATACGACATGTGCTTTACCTTTGCTCGGTGTACAAAACCTGTATCTTTGGTACCGCCTGTATACTATGCCGACCTTGTTGCTTATAGAGGCCGGCTTTACTATCAGGCAATGATGGAAAAACTATCTCCCCTTTCGGCCTCATCCTCATCTTCATCATTGGCATCGTTATCATCACTGTCGTCTACAGCTTCATTCCATGAATTATTTAAGTTGCATGCGGACCTGGAAAACATGATGTTTTTTGTTTGACCGAAGCAGGATCAAAATTCCCTTTGACAATGGGTTAAATGGCCAGTTTTGTTTGAAAGAAATGCCCTGAACGCAGGTTTACTCCTTTCCTAATCCCTAGTAAAGGGGTTTGTGCGTGAATCTAACGGGTTTTAAGGCTTCTAGCATTTCCTATTTTATATTGTCAGTTTTTACTGTGATTTGGGGAGTTTTATATTAACTAAAAGATGGGATTGAATTTGCGTTTGTTTTCTTTTTCCCCGTCTTTCCGGAAATTCTAGAGTTGGTTTTTATGTTGTTGGTTGCTTTCTTTACTCCAAAGCAACTTGAATAGGGGAAAGAGCACCTTGAACAAGGACTATGATGTCCTTTCGACTTCGTTTGTTAGCTATGCTTGCACCTTTTGTTTATTTCTCTTCTTATTTTTGTGTTTCACTATGATGTACTTTCGACTTCGTTTGTTATCTATGCTTGCACCTTTTGTTTATTTCTTTTCTTATTTTTGTGTTTCTTTCCTTAATTGCGTAATACATTTATACAGTTACGTTGGAAGGAAGGAATATTGATCAAAAGGAAAAATGAAAAGTTATTCATCCTGTTATTAGCTTGATCATTCAACAGTTTTTTTTTTTTTATTCCTACCGCCACTAAAGGCACAATTTGCAGCATTCAGGAAGATTTGATAAAAAAAAAAAAAAAAACAAATAACAAAAAAAGAAGTGAGCGATTTCAGTTTTGTTTACTTGAAGAGTCGATGAAAAGACGAAAGAAACTCCCATTCTTCGTGCAAAGGCGAAATGCATCGTTGGTTTATTATATATTTTTTATAAAAAGGTTTTTTATTTTTTAAGTTTAGAAGAAATGTTTAGATTCTAAAGAAACTCGATTCTCAGGTTCCTATTACCCCTTTTATTCGTTCCTTTGCTTAACGCGTTGGATTGTACGGACTGAACTGTAGAATCCTTGTATCCCAAGAAAAGCATAAACGAGTTGCCGCCAAAGTCTATATATTAGATTCTCACCCCTGTCCTGCTCATTCTCACACTTCGGCATTTGCCTTCTGTTTACAAAAAAAAAAAAAGTTTACGCAGTTGTTTGAGAGAGATCAAAGTACTCATTTTTAGATTGTTTCTTGTTGTAATGGAGAAAGGTGGGTTTAGGGGAAAAGGACGTGCACGTGAAGTTGGTGGAGGAAGAGGTAGAGGTAGAGGTAGAGGTAGAGGCAGAGGAAGAGATGGTCAGCCTAATCATCAGGCGCAGCTGGGAAGAGGTGCAAACCAGGGTTGGAGCCGAGGTCAGGTTGGTCCAGCCCAAAGTGGAGTCCAGCAGGATCGTGTTCATGTGAGTCCCAGCCATGGCGATTGGACGTCCGGTAGAGGTTGGGGAGCTAACGGTGGTCCTTCTTTTGCTCAAGTTCTGTCAAGGGAAACACCCAAACCTTCTTCTACTCCTCCTACAATTGTTGTTTCTGGTATGAGTCTTTTACTTTAGTTTTTCCTTTTTATTGTTATGGTGTGTTTGTGAAACTGTGTTTCTAACTTGGAGTCATCTAGAGCCAAGGATGTTGAACCCCCCTCCAAAAAAAAATGTAGGGCCTAGGTTTATAAAGTATGAGATAAGGGTTTGTTTTCTCTTGTTGCAATCAAGAATTCTTACTGAGATAGCCTGACTGATCAAGCTTGATTCTCACAAAGCATGATGGTAATTGTAACACATATTAAGTTCCTTTTAATTATTCTTTTTTGCTCAGCTCATTCTTGATTCAACTGAAGGGATCATGGATGAATAAATATTCCCTTGTTTTAGTTGTTCATTGTATTCCTGTTTACAAGGACGTTTTTGCTCTGTTCTTTCTATTCCATAATAAATTTCAGGTAATTGGCTTGGGTTTTTTTTTTTTTTTTTTTTTAATGCTGTCAAATAATAGTCTGCTTATAATACATTAATTTTCTACAACTCAATTTCAAAACTTTCACCTTCCCAGATCCTGTTATTCCTGCAATTGCATCACCGAAAATTTCAGAGGGGGTGCTGCCTTCGTCATCATCTCCTAAAACTGAGGATATACTTTTGCCTATCAAACGACCTGATAATGGTGGCACGCGTGCTGTTAAGAAGCTTAGCCTTCTTGTCAATCATTTTCCTGTCAAGTTTGATCCTGAGAAGATCATATGGCACTACGATGTTGATGTTAAGCCACAGGTGGCTCTTAGGAATGGGCGTCCTGTCAAAGTATCAAATTCAGACTTGTCTTTGATACGGAGACAGATGTCTTTGGATGATCCTAAACAGTTCCCTTTGGAAATGATTGCTTATGATGGTAATAAGAGCATCTTTAGTGCAACAGAATTACCTAATGGAGAATTTATTGTCCAACTCTTTGAGTCTTCTTATCTGGTGACATTAAAGCTCGTGAAGGAGCTTAGGCTTTCTCAGTTGAATGATTATCTTAGTGGGAAAGGCTCATCAGTTCCTCGTGATACTTTACAAGGGATGGATTTGGCAATGAAGGAAAATCCAAAAAGACGTATGATCTCCTTCAGTCGTGGTCTCCATCCTATAAAATTTCATCAAGGAGTTGACCTTGGGCATGGTATCATTGCATCTAGAGAACCTAAACATAGTTTGAAGCTGACTTCTCAGGGTTTAGCTTTGTGTCTGGACTACTCAGTATTGCCAGTTCGAAAGTCGGGGCCTGTTATTGCGTACCTGGAGAAGCAGATTGATGGCTTTAATGTCAATGAGTTTGGAAAGTTCAAGGATGAAGTTGAATTAGCATTGAAGGGGCTGAAAGTTTATAAAAGTTATCTGGACACCAATCGTAGACACACAGTTGCTGGATTGACTTCAGAGGATGCAAAAAATATTTCATTTTGCATTGAAGACCAACAAGTCAGACTTGTAGATTACTTCAAGCAGAAGCATAGCAAGGATATCATGTACAAAGATATTCCCTGCTTGGAATTGGGGAAAAAAGATGGAAGTCATTCTGTACCCATGGAATTATGTGACTTAGCGGAAAGACAGAGATATCCAAAGGAGTTGCTAAATATAGATTCTTCAAGGAAGCTGAAGAATTTGTCATTGGCTTCGCCCTCTGTTAGACAGAACATAATATGTGATATGGTGCGGGATGAAGATGGGCCTTGTCGGTAAGTACTGATAAACTTCAAACTTTCACTAGAATTTGTTTGTGGAAATTTTTTTTTTTTTTTGCATTCAAGTGTAACTGGGTTTTCTCATAATTAGTTTGGAGAGATTGGTAAACCTACATACCATCTATTGACTGATTGCCTAACGCTAAAAGTTGAAACTTATGGTGCACTTGGCTTATGTTTCTTTGCACTTTTTTTTTCCTTTCCTTTTTTAAGTAATGTTTAGTTTATGAACCAAATAACCTTTTTTATGATTCGTGATACTGCACCTTGTTTAATGTTTATGAAAAGGAGAACAAATGCTCAAGTTACTTATGAATGACTACACAAATTGATTAACCATTGTTGATGTATCTTTGACAATATTTTAGATGATTTTGAATTGCTTTATTATCCCAATTGCATTCAGGTTATTTCTGTGTGACTTCATCTGTGTTCTGGAATTGAAACCCCTGTAATTAGCTACCTATTTGGAGTAAGGACCAATATAACTTTCTAGCAATATGAGATGTGACTATTGGGAACTAAAAGGACTTTCAAGTGGCAAGAGCCTCATTAATAATATATTCTTAGCAATCTTATGTGTGAATCATATAAGCTCATTGGACATTAGTTGGATGGTATACAAACTTCATGCCTCTTCTACTTGCTCAATTTGAGTATTTAAAGACTGATTTTACAATTGAAATATGATATTACACTTTTTTGCTGCCTAGTAATACATGATATTCCTTGCTGTACTGGACTGAGACTTGGAATATACCTGATTAATAAAAGAATGTGATGTAAAGGCCTTGTTCATCAGTTTTTATCTGGATTCTTATTATGTTCTACTATTGGCAGTGGGGAAGTTTTGCAAAATTTTGGAATGGAAGTAAGCATGAACATGACGAAAGTGGCTGCTCGTGTTCTTAGCCCACCTGAGTTGAATGTTGGTGCTCCTGGAGGGACGAAGAAGAAAATAAAGCTTGATAATGAGAAATGCCAGTGGAATCTCGTTGGTAAATGTCTGGTTGAAGGAAAACAAATTGATTGCTGGGCTGTGCTTGATTTCACGTCTGCTGAACCAAACAAATATAGACTGAGGCCTACAGACTTCATTCCAAAGCTTATAAGTCGGTGCAATAATCTTGGGATGCAAATGGGGGAACCTCTCAATTATCAGATGGCTAGAATGGACAATTTAAATAGTGAGGATGTGCTTCAGAAGGTGCTTGAGAATATTCAGCGCCTATCTTATCAAAATGGGAAAGGGCGTCTACAGCTTCTTCTTTGTGTGATGGCTAGACAGCATCCTGGCTACAGTTGCCTTAAGTTTATTTCTGAGACAAAAGTTGGTGTAATGACTCAATGTTGTCTGTCTACTTGCGCCAACGAAGCAAAAGACCAGTATATTAGCAATCTTGCTATGAGTATTAATGCCAAGCTTGGAGGCCACAATGTGGAGATCGTTGAACCCCTTCTCCGTTTTAAAGGTGAAGGCCATGTTATGTTTGTGGGTGCTGATGTCAATCATCCTGGTTTTAAGAACTCAACAAGTCCATCAATAGCAGCTGTTGTGGCTTCTATGAGCTGGCCTGCTCCTAATCGCTATGCAGCAAGAATTCTCCCACAAGATCCTAGGTCAGAGAAGATTCAGGACTTTGGGATGATGTGTTTGGAGCTTTTTGACTCTTATGTTAAGTTAAACAACATCAAGCCAGCCAAAATCATTATATTTCGTGATGGGGTTAGTGAAACCCAGTTTGATATGGTTCTTAATGAGGAGCTAGCTGGTGTCATGAGAGTCTTTCAAGCAATGGGTTACTTCCCAACCTTCACAGTTATTGTAGCCCAGAAAAGACACCACACTCGTTTCTTTCCAGAGACCAAGGAAGATGGTAGTTCCTCTGGCAATGTGCCTCCAGGAACAGTTATTGACTCAACTGTTGATCATTCTGGGTTTCATTTCCATCTTTGTAGTCAGTATGGTAGCATTGGGACTAGCAAGTCAACACAATACCAAGTCCTCTTCGACCAGCATGGTTTTACTAGTGACCATATCCAGCAGCTTATACATAGCATGTGCTTCACTTTTGCTCGCTGCACCAAGCCTGTCTCCTTGATACCACCTGTGTACTATGCTGACCTTGCTGCGTATAGAGGTCGGCTTTATCAGGAGGTATTGGATGGACGGTTTCAATCTTCATCTTCTTCAGCATCACCATCACAACCATCAGCTGCTGCTTTTGATAAGAGCTCCTACAGGGTCCATCCTGACCTGCGGAATTCAATGTTTTACATCTGAAAATGCCTCTTAGAACTGTCCCGTGATAAACTCCTTTCCAAATCAGCCTAGTGAAGGAGTTTGTGCGTGAATCTAATCGGTTTCCAGATATGTAGTAAGTGTTAAGTTCTGCATATATCCTCCAAGTTGTCATGGTTTATGCAGGCCATGGAATTTAGAGGATTTCTATTGTTATGTTTTTATTTCGAGTCTTTTTAATGTACAAAAATGTGTGTGAACCCAGTGATGTGTTTGAAGTCTTATGTAAGTATTTTCTGGGCATCTTCCTCTTCTTCAGTTAGCTTAGCATTGCCCTGGGGATTGAGTTGAGATGCCTAAAATATTACTATCCTATGTGTATGAATAAATGAGGTTTGTGAAATTGATGTATAAGCTGGTCAACTAATTGCCTTTTACTTTTGCGCCCCTATCTTATTGTTATAACTACAATATACCCATATAACTCATTAATATGTTAATCCTATTAATTCAAAGAACCAACTTGAATATAAATTTTTGGAGTTATAGAAAAAAAAATTGGACCAAAAATTAGTCCAAGATATTCAAACATTCTGGTCGGATTTGGATCCAAGGTGATTAATTTTTCAATGAAAAATTTCATAAAACTTCAAGCGCAACATAAAAAGCCATCCTCTTCCATTTAAAATCCTAGTAGCACTGTATATTTAATCCATAAAATATTTCTCATAACGTTTATGGAAAAAATTCTTTTTACTTAGAAAAATTAAAGAAAGTAAAGATAATGATTTTTGAACTGCCTGGTATTTCTTGGCAAAGTTGCAAAAGATGATATTATAGACATTTTGAAAGAGGACTTACATTTTTTTTTTTTTTTTGGATAATAGGCCTATGCCTTTGTTCTTCTACATTGTTTCACCTTCTTCTTTTTTTATCTGAGGGAAAAAAAGAAGGTTCGAATCCTACTCTTTAAACAAATCTTTAAACGAAAAGGTATATAAATCAATGATCCTGACATAATATACCTTTATGTAAATATAAATTTTCCATAGATTTCGAAGTTCCTCGAGAATTTCTTATTATTTCGTAATTATACTTTTTAATAGTGCCAGACAAAAGGAATTCTATGAATTTACATCTATATCTTACAGAAAAATATATATAGATTCATAGCTGTTGAAGTTGGTGCGTAAAATTGTTTCTATTTGCAGCCAATAAAATAATAAGGTTTGACTTCCTTTGGGAATGGCCAAGGGATACAGACATAGGCAAAGCTTTTAGTATTACTATCTTTCAGTCTGATAAGATTTTGAACTTTAATGCTTTGGTAGTGTTTTAAATCTCAATTTTAGCGTGTTTCAAAACCAGGGTTCACCTCTAAGTTTTCTGCAAAAGGAGCTGCCTGCTGTCTATTTTCATAGTTCCTATAAGAAAATTACTTTTCTGCCACTCTGCCCATGAATTTTTTTCTCAACCCCTTCAGTTTGTCCATTTCTCTACGGGATACCATGCGATGATATCTAAATAATTTTTTGGATATTAGTTTTGTTTCAGCTTGAACTGTTTGTCTATTAATGCGGGAGTCAGTGAAAGGTAATTATCCAATCTTGCATCTATGCAATAAATGTTGGAAATAGTGAGATAAATTACACAACTGAAAACATTTGAAATTGGATAAGTATTATTCGATGGATAAAAAAATTTTTAAAAGAAAAATTTTTTAAAAAAATAAAAAAAATTGTTTGATAGTTAAATTTATATATTTATAAATAGATAGAGTATGTTATATATAAAAAAAAATGTTAAAAAATTATGAAGTTATATAAAGTAGACATTTTATAAGATTATAGAGGATTAATGTTTTCATGAATGTATATACTTGAGTAAATTAAAGAAAAATAAGAAGATTACAAAGTTATAGTGTACGAGTACGTATAAGTATATGTTTGTTTAAATTGAAAATATTCTATAAAATTAGAAGAGATGAAAAAAATTTATAGATATTAATTATGAATATTGATTGATATGATTTATATATTTATAATTTTTTATAATTAATAGATCTTTTTTTTAAAATGTAAACATAAATCGATTGAGATAAATCACATTAAATTATTATATCTTTTATGAATAATTAATCGTTTGATTTTATTTTTATTTACTTGAATGTTTAATTGATTATGATTTTTTAACCTAATAAATAATATTAGAGCTGTTGTATCCTAGCAATAAAAAGATAATGATAAACTGTGAAATTAATATTTAATACCATAGGCTAATTTTAAGTTTCCTTTATTCTGGATTTTGTCTTTTGTTTCTCACGTCCAAGATTCTGTCCCCAAAGCTTGAATTTTGTTAAAGATAGCCTAGAATATGAACCAGGTTGAGTTGCTGTTCTTTATGTTTGGCCGCCATAGATTTTTGAAGCCTAGGCTCACATGTCAACCATGTGTGCTTTTTGCCCTTGCTCATCGTTTCTTTATACGAGACATCCTTGAAAAGTGCTATTTACATCCGTTTGCTTTACCTTAAAACAAACGAACTGCTGAAAACTTCAACCTTTGGGGTGCCTACCATTGCTGACGAGGTGTCCAGGTATTAGCTAAATAGCACAATTCATTAGTAATAAAGTTTAAAAACTTTTACAGAAGATCGAAGCAAATTTTTGGACTGTAAGTAGATGAGGTTAGGTTAGGCAAAACCTTCGAATTGGTGATTGAAACTTTTAATTGGAATTATTCATTCAAGTGCTTTTCTAACCTTTTCCCCTGTGCAAATGACCTATGGCAATGGGCATTGTGCTGGAACTGTTTCAGCCGTGGTCCATTACATGGATGCCTTCGAGTTTGGGTTCTCATGTTCAATACAGAAAAGCTTTTGCTACCGTTTGGTGGTGTCAGACATGTGAAGCTGTGGCAATTCAACAGGCAGGGTTGCTGAAAACATGAGTAAGGTTATTCAGAACTGGAGATTGGATAAGATAGGTTTTCATTTTAGTTGCTGCTGCCATTGTATTATTCACTGGTGCCCATTTTTTCCACTAGAGGACACCACCACAAACTCATTTCGTTGGATTTATATGATGATATCAATTGAATTCAAACATCCACTGGCTAGTGGCCATGTGCCATGACTGAGGAAGAGATTTTGCAGAATTTGGGACAAAAAGAAATTTTGAGATAAAGCAGCTGGACGGTGGAATCACTAGTCATTCTAGCCAATCAGGCAAAACAGTGACATTCCACGGAGATAGGATGGTGACAACTGAAATATGGCCATGTATTGTGAAAGTGGGGAAATACTCCTAATGCAAAAAACCAATGTCTGAAAAATGAAAACCATATACAACAGATGAGTATTACTTGGTCACAAAAACCAGCCTAATGCAGAATCAAAATTTTTATTACCAAAAAGTGTGGTCGTACCTGTCAATTCCTGGTCACTAAATTTTGATATTTCTTAGTGCATCTTAGCATTCATCATAGTATTCATAGTAGGGATGTACTTTGATTTAGGGTTTTATTCTGGAAAAAAAAATAATTACTAGCATGTAAATTAGTAAAAGTTTCAGTTTTGAATTTCTTTTTCTTTTTTTTTTACCATTGTTGAATTTAATTCTAACAAATACTATAAATAAATAAATAAAAAGATTACAACCCAGACATTGCCAGATTTTCCATTGTGATAATTGTTTTATCACAACCCTACTTCATCGACTTTCAAAGCAATGAGAAAACATTTGTAAAACAAGAAACCAAAGCCAATAAATTCTTATCTGTTATTTAAGTTGAGATATGTATCATATACCTAAACTTAGTAATCTGTGTGTTCGTGTTATATATATTTTGTGTGATATAACATAAAAATTATCGTATTATAATTTGTATAAACACAACAAATATAAAATAAATTTTTTAGTTTTTAACAAACTCATACGTAATTTTTACTAAAATTTTAAGTTATATCTTTTTTTTGTATCGTTTTAATATCATGTAATCGTTGTATATTTAAAATTCTCAGTATAATATAAATTATTTGTTTTCTTCCCCGGAAGAAAACGGATTTTGCATATCATTAAGTCTTTATTTGGGGAAATCATCTATGTTGATTAGATATTCACATGTCTGTAAATCACTATATGTCAAGTAAGATCCAATGTGCTATAATAATGTTGCAACATTTACATACACTCTCAAAAGATGGAAAGGAATTTGAAAAACTACAACTAATCTTCCTCTGATACTTACTCCTTAGAATCAAGACTCCAGATGATTTCTTGCATTTCTTTAACTGGCAAAACCTTCTAGGCTTCTATCTCAGGCTACCGATGCCTCGCAGTACTTGTGATGGTTGACTAAGTTCATAAGCTATACTTTTGGCTAATGATTGCAAAGAGGATTTATACAAGTTTCATCCAGCGACGAAAGGATGGAGGCATATTCTATCAAAGATTAACATATTGAAACTGTTCAGAAGGGATCAAAATATAGCAATACTAAAAATACAACTGATAAGAAAAGTATTGAAATTCCATTTTCTGCCAGCATATAATATTTAACACAGAATGATTTGCCAGAAGTTTGCCAAAGTGATCTTCATTGGAACTTATATTAATTTACGAGATTTCACTTTTAAGTGATTCAAGCATTTAGGGATAAAAAATTTCATTGAGGATGAGAATAAGCAAAAGGATATTGAAATGCTTCTAGGATATAAGGAAATACTAATTGTCCAGGGCTAGCTTCGAAAATGTCTGAAGTTTACGATACCTGAACTTTTTATTAGTCGCTGCAACGAGAAAGAAGCAAGCACCCTTTCCTCAAGTGCTCGATTGTAATTTGAGGATTCTAGTAACTGTGGCACAAGTATTGAGCATGCCATGGACTGGAAATTTTGATCTGTAACTGAATGGAGAAAGCTGCTCGTCCAGGCAACTGTTAAGAGGCTAGCTCGTGCTAAACTAGGAATGCCCTTGGCCATAGAATTTGAAAGAGCGGCCAAGAATCTCTTAGTGCCAGTATTTAGCAAAGCAGTTGCTGCTTTTCTTTGCCAATTTTCTATTGCTTCCTCCTCTTCATGCTAGTGATTGTCGAACAAAAAGGAACAAACATTAGAAAAAAATAGATTAAAGAAAGAGTGTCTGTACTCTGTAGCAATTCTAACTGTACATGAAGCTTGACATGTAGCAACTATATAGAGTAAAAAAATGAAACAATTAGCCTGACATAATATTCTAGCATGCCTACATTCATGTACTAATTTGAACAATTTCATCTTCAGCTAGAAAATTCCTGCTACTGCACATATTTGTAGAAAGGGATTTGACTAGTGTTTGATCAGTTTCATTCAGAAGAATAAGTTTGATCTAAATCAAATAAAGCTTGTTTGCAAGTTGAATCAGAAATTCAGCAGGACAAAGTAATTTATAAATATGAAATTGTGGTTAGTTTCGGAATGTTTTATATCATGAAGTTAGTAATGAATCAACAAAGATCCATCTTGACTGGCTCTAGCCAGAGCACTAGGATGTGATTCTTTGGTAGATATTGATAAGGAATAATTTTTCTGTGATTTCTCTTTCTTTTTTTTTTATGTTGTTTTTCTCAATCTTAATTAAAATTACTTTCAGGCAAGAAACTTTTTACTATTTTTAAACAATCACAAGCTTACCAAGATATTATCAACTATTTCCTTTCCATGAAATGAGTACCCTAAGTTTTCATGAAAGCCTGCTTGCTCCAAAAGCCAACTTTCTGTTGTTGCCTCCCCCATGTAAGAAAAACGGCCTCCCAGCATCATGAGAGCTCTGGCGGATTGTTCTTGAATTTTATCATTACATTTTTCACAATCTAAAGCTTCTATAATTACCTCAACTGCTTCTTCTCTGTATACACTGCACCTCAAAGGATCTCCCTGTAAAATGACTGTAATCCATGATTTCTGAATCAAAATGTTGCATAATTATACCTTTTTTTTTTGGTACAAGATGCCATACTGAATCCTGAACAAACTAAAGTTAATGGAAGAAGATTGAATATCTGATGGATACGATTTCTTTCAGTCTTTGATAAGCATGAGGCATTAGTTTTGGTATATAAAGCTGTGAATGGCAATGAAATTAATTACCAGAAGGTCAAGCTGCAATAAGATGGCTGCAACCAGGGGGCGTTCTTCGGGTAGAGCTTTCTGCAGGCATGTTAATAAGATATGCATGGTATTCAAGCCTCCCCATCCATTCAGAAGATCATTTAAGAATTTTGTTACCTGTGTTCTTCTGTTAACATTCCCTAGGTCATCAGGATATGAATTCAAAGTTCTGGAACTAATAAAAAATTCATGGTAAACGTAAACGGATTGGTACCTGTTTAGGCAGAGTAGCTCACTTAGTAAGGCAATAACAGATCCATTAGAATCCGTACGGTTCACAACAATAAGTTCAATTAGAGATGCCTTGTTCAATTTGTCAGATAAGTAGTTTCGACAACTTCCATCAGCTCGAATGCAGCAGGATATGATCAAGGCAGCATTAGTCCTCTCGAGAACACCACCTATCTCAACATTTCTTATCAAAAGGCTCAATCCCCCAAGAGAAACCAGTTGACTTGCATTCTCTAAGTTTCTATCTTCATTAAAACCTGTTAAAAGTTGGTCTAGGAAATAAAATGCAGCCACTTGAGGACTACACCTTACTGTAAATAGAGTCTGCAGCTGCTCTCCAAACTCTAAAACTCTAAGGACTAGGGGAACCCACTCCGTTGATATCATCTGTTTTGCCTTTGGCTTTAACAAGTAAAGCAGCACAGCAGCTTTCAAAAATAGACTACTATTTCTTAACAGTCTTAAGAAGATTTCAAGCTGTGGATCTGAGTTAAGTATTATCAGCCTTTTCACCTCACTCCTAGCAACAAATTCTGCTAAAATTGATATTGCTAATTCTAGAATTTCATCATCACTGGAAGCAAACAAAACCTCGAGGATTCCCTCTATGACAGCTGCTTTTGCTAATGCAGCTTCTATGGCAGGATCACCATGTGATTCTAACCATGCTTTGATTATTGCCCGGATTGAAATTTCGCAATCACTTAGACTATCTGAGGAGGAAATGGTAGCAATGGCTTTACTTGGATCACTCGAAGGAAGATGAATGCTTTCCGCCTTTCTCATTGAATTATTTCTGACAACATTTTTGCTATTTACCAAGCATTCTGTTGTCGCACTCTGGCAGGTAAACAGCCGAAAGTGGTCAGATTTCTGTGTCTCAGGCCGTAATTCAGTTTTCGGAGCTCTATAGATCTGGCTTGATGACCTTCTACGTGTCTTCGTCTTGTTCTGTCAAAAATTTGAAAACATAAATGACACTCTCCAATCTAGCGGTAACTTAAATAAAAGAATTACAGTTTTCACAAAGAGAAAGAATTACCCACATGAACATAATTGAAACCGTTGTAATCTTCTTCATCTGTACATTCATTTTCCTCTGCCTCGAGGCGACTTATATCCATTGATGCTCTGATTCGATGATCAAGTTCCATGGATGGTTGCTGCTCAATTGAGGCGCTAAACACAGTTCGATACCTTATGAACATTTAGGCAATTAAGAAACATGTAAGAAAATCAACATAATTATGATCAATTCTTAAATGCTTAAAAAAAATGATTATAGAGTATCTAAACTAACAACTTACAAGTTTTTGTCGATGGAAGAATGCGAAGTATAAGAATCAGATAATCTCCTTCTTGATGATCCATAACTGGGACTTGATGGCAAAGGCACTGTAGGAACTGCTGGGGCTTTAGCCCCAATGTTAAGCCACTTTATATAGTACGTAGCGAACTTAGCTGTTCCCATATCCATTTGGTCATTGTAGAGCTTGTTTAAAGCTTTCATTCTCTTCTCTTTCTCACCATAGTCCAAGTCAGAGAGAAGTTCGAGTTCTTTGTGGTACCAAACCTTAAGGTGAAGAAGATGGGGAAGGAAAAAATGCTCCCATAGATCTGGAAGCAAGTGGGTTCTTGCTAGAAAAGCCGAATCACAAAAAACTTGAAGCAAATGTCTAGCGGAAATCCTATGATTCTTCTCGAGCTTGTAAACTATAGATAAGTATAGCTGAGCACATGCTGAGATATGAGAATTGGGAACTCCGCAAGTTGAACCATTCCTTGATTTCTTAGAATTCAAGGAAGCAACGATGCTCAAAAGCCGAACCGAATGCGTCAATGATTTCATTCTAAGTTCCTTTTTGTTCCCTCTATCTTCTACTAACTTGTCGATGCTCTCAATAGCAAGTTCCATATTCACAAAAATCCCATTATCCGAACCATTTTTTCTCCTCACTAAGCAAGAGTTGCACTTTTCTTTGATCATTTCACGAAACCTCCCATCTTTAATATACCTACCAGTGTAGCCACCAAGTATAGATATCACAGCTTTAATGGCAACTTCATCGATTGCAGGCTTATCTCCCCTAGGAGGACCATCCTTTATCAATGACTTAGATTTTGGTCTATCCGAATCCGACACCCTTCTAGATGAAAAAACTGAGGACCCATTTGGGAAAACAGTCTTCTCAGCCTTGTGCTTTGATTTTTCCAAGCTTTTTCGATCATGGCAAATATATATAGGCAGTGCTATGGACTCATCTGGCCTGGCAGCAATTCGGTTTCTAAGGCTGATTTCTTTAGGATTCTTCAATAACTTCCCTCTCTCAAACCCTTCGTCCGTAAGCAATTCTTGTAAAGAAGCCATCTCTTGATAGATATTCAAGCTTGGTCTTGAAGAAGCAAAAGATTAATGGAAGTCAATCTATAAAGCTTCACTGACATTCTTTCAAGAACCAAGAATTAGAAGATAAACGCAACGTCAGCTATAGAAGAAACAAAAGCGAGAAAAATGCGTGAACGAAAAAAACAGAGGAAATAAAGGCAGTGGTCATTTTGTTTGTGTCCCTTCTCGGCCGTTTAAAAAATACTATATTTTTATTAGTTCCAATTGTACAGATAAAGGTATGAATGTATTATTAGAGAATCTTTATGAATCGATGAAAATAAATTTCTTAATATTATTTTCAATTTTAATTTTATTTAATTTAACTTTGAATTTTAAATATAAGATTAGTTTTACATATAACAATAAATTTAATTATATTAAATTGCACGCATTATGATAAAATTTTTTAGATAATAACTTTTAAACAATCAGCAAATAATTAAATTTCATCAATATTACGAAATTTATCTAATATCTAAATAAGAATTCTAATTACATGACTAACATTAAATTTTTTTTATAATTATTAATATAATTTATCTGATTTATAAAAAATAACTCACTAACATTAAAATATTTTTATCATAAATATTAATAAATTTTATCTAATTGGTAAATAAAAATTCTAATAACTTCCATTAAAAAATATTATTTTTTCTTAATTCTAATAGTCTTGAATCATTTATAAATTAATATCACAAGAAATTCAATTATTTATATTTGTTTTAGTAATTTTTATGAAAATCTATTTTTCAATTAAAAATTAATTAAATCAGACAAACTCAACATCATGTATTACAAATAATTCACTTGCGATGTACATATAGAAAAATCTAATTATTAAAAAAAAAATACAAAACAATAGCATGTAACATTACATACAATACACGATATATATATATATATAAGAGCTAGACCAGACCGGTTTAATCCAGTTAAAAGACAGTTAACTTCCCGCCAAATGGGTTTAATTTTGTGAACCGGGTTTGAGAGGGATTGAAACAATACTAGTGTCAGATGCCCGAATGTAATTAATTATTGAAGGAGTAAATGGGCAAGAGATCAATGGTACCAAACAAGAAGACAGCATATTTTGGAAATGGGTAACATGTGATCTGCTTATTTAAATGGATCCCACTTGATAATCACTCAATTTGAGGTGAGAAGATTCTCATACAAAACAACTGGTTGATATTTTTATGATATGATGTTGGAGTATTTTCTGGTGCATGTAAGAGTAGAAAAATTATGGGTTCCATTAACAAGTTTACTTGACTTGTTTGAATTAATTTATAATGTTTTTTTTTTGTCGAAAAAAATTTTAAGATTACTTTATTTTTAAAGTTAGAATAAACTAACAATTTATAAAAAAAATTATAAATTTTTTGAAAATTTTTAAATTTATAAATAACTTTCAACAAAAAATCATGAGATTCAAATCTACATACTTCACATTGAAACCATAAACCTTAATCATTTATGCCAATTATTTTAATTTTGGAATGGCTTTTTAATCCTAAACTATATCAATTAGAAATTTAATTGTATTACTGCATTGGAAAGTGTGGTGAGAAAGGATTGGTATGGCGATGAAATGTCAAAATCATGCTTTCCAACAAATTCTAAATTTAAGTTAAAGATTGAACTTTTTTTGTGCAAGTATTCATATATAATTTCATATGTTTTAAATATGATGATTTTATCTTATTTATTTATTTTTAAAAATAATAATTTTTTTCACAAAATAAATTATAATTTGAGTATAAAAAAAAGAGATTATAATTATTAAAATTTACTCCAAATTTATTAGATATTATTTTTTATAATTAATTATATAAATTAATTAAATTAAATTGTAAGTTCAACAATATAAAATTATATGCAAGGAAGATAAAATCAAAGTTCAATAAGTATATATGATATTTTATTATTTTCAAACTTTAATTAATATAGAAAATTTTGTTTTTGTAAATTGTGGTGGGTACAAACTAGAAAAACAAATGTAGAAGAAAAGAAATTCATTTAAAGAAACATAATAATCGTTCAGTCAAATTTAAATGTTAAAAAAAAAAATCATAAACTTTATGCATTAAAAAAACTGAATGGAAAGGAAAAAGATCAATGGCTTTAGATCAAAGGGTACACAATTCATGGTCAAGTTTATTTCATAGTGGGAAGAAGCTGCACAATAAAAAGATCATTTGTGGTGGGAAAAATTGTACCGTTGGATGGTGACCTATCAACTTTATGATTCACGAGACAATAAATGGACATTTTCGAAGATTATTTGTCTATTAAAGTAAGGTTTACAGTTCAATTCAAATCTGATAAATTTTGATTTGATTTTATAAAATCGATTTTTTTAAAAAAATTAAATTTTAAATCGAATCGAATATTATTAACAAAAAAATTAAGATTGGATCAAGTTCGAATTTTAGATAAATTTGATTCGATCATATATTATATTAAAAATTATTTTTTAATTTTTATTTAATATATATTATATAATTATATTTAAAAAATAATATTTTATATTGTAAAAATAATATTTTATTAATTTCTAATTAAATTAGATCAGATATAATTTATACAATGTCGAATTAGATCGAATCAGATTTGGATATAAAATAATAATAAAAAAATTTTGAATCGAATTTAAATTTTAAAATTATAAAATCAGATCGAATTTGAAACGAATAAAAATTTATCTTGATCTAATTCGTTGTCAAACTTTATGTATAAATGAAGTCCAAACAACGCACGCAACTCTTGACGATAATGGAAAAAAATGGGACTCAATCAATTATTGACAAATTATACGATTAATGAATAATTAATCTCTGGCCTACCATGGATTGTATAATTAAGCTAAATATTAAAATAAAAAATAAAAAACTTTGTCTATACAAGTGGGGAAAAAATTTATAAATAAAGGACAGAAGGGGAGTAAGAGAATATAATTTTCAGGAATCTTTTTCAACATTTTGTGGTCTTTTTTATTCTATTGTCTTCATCCTCCTGTCATTTCTTCCTGTCATTTTTTTTTTCTTGGCAACTTGGACTTTTTCTAGGTTTTTCTCATTTATCAAACCGGGTTTATCAACTTTTCTCGGTTCATTAATTTCATCACACCAAAAGATGGTTTCCAAAATGCGTGAGGGATGGGCCAATAGCCTAATCAAGTTCTAATAGTACTTAGTTTCTGATAAATTTTGGATATGATTTAATTATAATTATAAATTTTAGTTAAAATTAAATATTTTAATAAAAACCAAAACATTTAAAATAAAATATATCTATTTATTATAATTAAAATTTTATAATTGTAACTAGGTCATGTAAAAATTTTGTAATAACTTTCACGGAATCAATTTTTTTTGTAAGATTAATACTCTAGTCTAAGTCTATTATGATCCACATTTTGCTTGAATCGTATTATTAAAACTTTTGAGATCAATGTAAATAATTATCATGTTATTAATCAATCGTGCTTTTTTTTTTTTTTGAAATAATTGAACTTCATTTGTGAATGAGTCTAAAATAACGTTACAAACTGAAGAAAAATAATTAGAAAATAATTGTGGTACAATTTTTTTGGCATTTTATTGCTACTTAATTAAGCATATCGACAAAATGCCACCTAGATTTTGGCCCGTTATAGCAGCCAAGTATATATTCCATAAGGGTGACTTGGCCTTGGCCATATTGTGTGCAGCAGCCCGGCCGCACAAAGGAATCTAATTAACACAAACTCCCCAGAGAAGATGAAACCTCAACAGATGTTTTTCTGATCTCTTGCTTCAAACTAGTAAAAAGCATATTTTTTTCAAGTACCACCGAAGAAAAATGTGGTTTGCTTGTGCTGGCATTTGGCTCGAATTATATTCAAAGAAAGCAAAAAAAAAAAAAAAAAGAAAGAGCTAGATCATATTTTTTAACCATTAATATATGTATTAATGTTATTTAATAATTATTTCAAATTCATCAATAATTACGCGAGTTATTGATAAAGAAATTAATTTTGAATTTTAATTTTTAAATTCAAAATTTGATAATTCAAACACCAAAAATAATAATTTCAAATTCAAATCTTAATCCAAATGTTCAAACATCAAACAGAAAAAATTCAACCCCATTTTCTTCTTTTCCCTTTTTTTTTTTTTTTTAATTTGGAAATTGGAATCTAGTAGGCTCATATATTATATAGTTTATATCACATTGAATGTTGTGGACCAAGAAGCCCATTGAACAATGGGTGTACCTGTCAAGGTCCATACTCCAGGCCTCAATATTTCTGCCGAAACAAAAAGACACAAATCCTTGTTCCTTATTCCCTAATTTGCATTATCAACTAATGAGAGGACAATTAAGAATACTTGTGTTCAAAAAAAGAAAAGAATGCTTGATTAAAACGAATAAGATAAATTAAGATTCTCAATTAAGCTTTTTAAGCAAGCCTGGAATTGCAGTGGATGCATAGTTTACCCACTTAGTGTTTCCTTTATACTTGGTTATGCATAAAATTAAGATCAACATAATTGGAATCCAATGAAGTAATCATATTCTTAACGTGCGGTAGGATGCGTTTAGCCATCTTTACATTTTATGTAATTAATTTTGTATAATCTTTTCTAGTCTCGTAAATCTCATCTCGTTTTTTTTTTTTTTTTTTAAATTTAAAATTGAAACTTTTAAAATAAAATTTTAAACTTTAATTGATTTGGTGGCTGGGTGGATACCTCGAAGACGTTATAATCAACTTTATTGCTTTTGTTTAGCATTAAAGCTCATTTGGTTTTTTTTTTTTTCACCCGTGTATACATTTTTAACATGACATGAAATGGACCATATATTATTTTAGATAAGTTCAGTGATTTAGGTATTTATATTAAATAAAATATTAAAATTTATATATTTATATTATATTTTATATAAAATTTATATATTATAATTTATATCAATATAAAAATATTAAATATATTTTTATTATATTAAATTTATATAAAATTATTACTTAAAATTTAAATAATGTCATTTTTATATTTTATTTAATTTTAGGTTGGTGGATTTAATTTTGGTAGATTTAAAAAAAAGTCAAAAGTGAAAACACCAATGATTTGAAAGAGAGAGAGAGTGAGAACCGATAAAAGAGAATTGAGAGAATAAATCCCTAGGATTTTTCCAGGGAACATCCTGGTAAAGCTGCAAGTGGTCAAAAAGTGTTAAAAATGGGAATGGGACACGGAAACCAAAGTGCGGCATATATTCACCTTCTTGAAATTTCCATTATTCTAAAAATAAGATTCTTTGGTTTCTTTCCTTTTTCTCTGCGTAAATACCGTGTCTAACCAAGACCATGAACAAATTATCAGATAAATTAATAGAAGACTTTCAGATTAGCATCTAGTTAAACACATTTTTTATTTTTTACGGTAAAAAAAAAAGTTAAAGTTTACATTCTTTTTTAAAGTAAAAAAAAAAAAAGATAGAAATTGAAGGGTGCCTTGCAAGTTGGCCTAGCTATAGATTTCATTTCTGGTCAGGGAAAGTACGTAAAACAACTTTATTTTTTGTAAGAGAATCATGTAATCTAATTAACTTGTTTATTTCACGTTTTAATTATTGCTTTTGAAATAGCATCTTATTCAAGATAAACAACTTTATAATATTCTTCTTTATTTCATTCTTTCTTTTTCTTCATCTAAGTGATCGTGAATATTAAAAACGTATTTTTTAAATTTGTTAAAATTTAATTTTAATATAAAATTAAAATTTTAATATTTTATTACTAAATTAATGACTCTTGATAATATGTACTGAGTTACCTAGTAAGTTGTTTTTTTGGCCAAGGGGGTTTCCTAGTACCATAGAACTATATATTTTACAACTCCAAGGTTAGATGTTAATTTAGGTACAATAAAAATATATAGATTTATCGAAATAAATTAATAAAATTTAAGTTTTTTTTTATTATTTTAGCCTTGATTTTTCAATTTTTAATTATTTAATTTAATATTGCCTATTTATATGTTGATAAATATTTTTAATTTTAATTTTAATATTAAATATTTAACTTAAAATCAATTGTTAATAGAAAAAAAAATTTAATTTTTTTCATATAACTTAAATATAAGATGATAAAAAGCACAATATTTAACATATGTAACTATCACATAATAAATTTAAAGGAGTGGTAAGAATAACGAAATAGAACTTGAGGTATAATATCATATTAAATATTTAATCTAAAATTAATTGATAATAAATAAAAAATTTCAATCTATAGTCTTCAAAAACATTTAATCTAAAATTAATTGATAATACTAATAAGAATTAAAACAAAATTATAGTCTTCAAAGTTTTAAATTATTATTAGACATGCCAGGTTTTATTATATGTTTAATACTTTTGTATATTTCTTTTTAATGTTTTGTCTTTTGTTGACTTTTAGGTTAAAATGCTAAAAGAGATCATGAATTTTATTATTTTATTTAGATAAAATTTTATACTTTTATTATATTCAAATATATTTTTTTATTGGTATCCAAATATATCTTTATTTTAAATAAAAAATTAATTTACATTAAATGCTTATTTAAATATAAATTAAAAATTAAGTGCTTATTTGTATATAAATTAAAGTTTAAAAATTTATTCGAATGCAAAATAAAAGTTAGAGGTTAATTTAGGAAAAACAAAAATATATAAATTTATCAAAATAAAGTAATAAAATTTAAGATTTTTTTATTGTTTTAACCTCGATTTTTCAAATTTTAATTATTCAATTTAATATTATGTATTTATATGTTGATAAAAATTTTTATTTCTAATTTTAACGTTAAATCTTTAACTTAAAATCAATTAATAATAAAAGAAGAGATCTAATTTTTTCATTTAATTTAAATATAAAATCATAAGAAACATAATATTTAACAAATATAACTATCACATAACAAATTTAAAAGAATGGTAAAAATAACAAAATCGATTTTAAGATTTAATATCATATTAAATATTTAATTTAAATTAATTTATAATAAATAAAAAAATATAAAATATAATATTTAATAAATATAAAATAATATCACTTTAACATTTAAATAGTATTTTTTTTAGGTAATCATTGTGAATGAAGGATCAGTCAATTTTTCTTTGGAAATTAAGTGACTCGTTTATAATTAATTCACTGATTTGGGTCATATATTTTAATCATAATAGTGTAGTATTTTTTGTGGTGTTAAAGTATCAAGCGTCGGATAGCCCTCATTTCACAAAAAACAAAAGGTCAAATAACATTGAATGCAAAGACTTCTAAACACTTTGATCGGAAAATAATTTAAAAAAAAGAAAAAAAAAAAACTAATAAACGAAGCTTTTCATTTTTTGTCAATGGAACTGTGAAAGGAAGTATCATGGAAAGCAATGGGTGCTTCGATTCCTTTATCTCTCTCTCTCTCTTTGCCGACATAAAACAAATGCATGCACGTTTTATTCACTCCTCACTTCGATTTGAACCAATTTTGTCGTTGTTATATGCTTAATAAAAAACTCTATGCATGCACATATCTACAGTAAATTTCTTTTCATTGTTTCCATTCACTGAAAAATTGATTGCTTCACGGAATTAATTTATTATATATTCTAAGTCGTCACAGTCTTTCTCTCATAAGTCAGATTAGGTTTGAATTGAGTTATATATGACATCAACATTATATATATTTGTTTAAATTCATCTCGATTCAATAATTTGTACCTTAAATTTTGTTCAAACAGATCCAGATTAATAAATAATATAATTTAAATTCGTTATTTTTTGTTTTAAATAAAAAAATTAAAATTTTATTTAATATTTAATAATTTTATTTTTATTAAATTTTAAAATATAAATAATTTAAGATATTTTTTAATATTTACATAATAATGTTATATATATTTATCATTTATATAATATAAGTTACATCATATATAAATATAAAATAATAAATATTATCTAATTAAAAAAAAACTTAATTCAAATTTTAAATATTAAAGTTAAGACTCATTTTATTTTAAAAATTTTTAACAAATTTAATATTTTTTTTCAAATTCTATCAAACATGAAACAAAATTTTGAATTTAAATAAATAATTTGACCTTACCTTTTAACCTCTAATTCAAATGTTTGATATGTGTGAAAATGAGTGAAAGGATACCATTGAAAGAGAAGACACTAATAAGAATAATTTTATAATCTCTAATAATAAAGAAAATGAATTTAATCAATTAAAATTAATTTTTTAATAAAAAAATTTTAAATTTAAGTTTTATTGATAATCATTTATTAAAATTATTTTGAATATATGATTTGTAATAATTTATTTTAAATTATTAAATATAATATATTTTATATTAATTAAAAAAGTAAAAATTTATTAACTTAAAATTTAAAAAAAAAATAATAATAAAAGGAATGGGACCACATGATAAAGTCGACAGGTCAATAGAAAAAGAAGAAAAAAAACAAAGACTTTATTATTTTTTTATTTATTTGGTTGGTTTGACACATTATTAGGCTTAAACAGTGTAAGTGAAGAGATTTGACTTGAGAAAAAAAAAAAATTCAAACACATTTCATTGCAGTGTCGTGATGTCGGCAGCCGGAATATGAGAAAGACTACGCTACGCTCCCTTCCATCTGTCCCTTCAGTATCCAATGAATAGTATAAATGAATACGTGTGGTTCAAATTTTCGACTGACCTAAACAATGGCTATATTTATTTATCATCTAAAGAATTTTGATTAATATTTTATTAATAAAATTATTTATTATTTCAAATTTCATTTAAAAGATATTATTAATAAATTATCTAATTTTTTTAATATTTTAATAATTTTTTTTTAAAAAACCTTTTATTTTGTCAACTGAACTAATCCAAACGAGTATATAATTTTACTTATTATTATACTATATTAAATATATCAATAATTATTATTTTTCAATGAATATCAATAGTTATTCAAATTTTTATTGAATTGGCACAAAGCTAATAATTATTATGGAAACAACCACCAAACATATCTTAAATTTGTTATTGAAGAGAAAAATTTATAAATTTTTTTGTCATGAAAATTTATAAAAAGCCAAAAGATTATGTTTATCTTTTTGGGTTGAAATGAAATAAATAATATTATCGATAAGGAAATTTTTGTAAAATACCTTGAATGTGTACACAACAGCCGCTATCCCCTCACAACGTTGATGTCATTGATTACGTCAGTGGAACCCAGCTCCAATTTACCACGTCATCTTCAACGTCCTCTGAACGACTTCATCTCTCTCTCTCTCTCTCGCTCTGACAATCGAAAGCGAAAAATGAAATTTCCTAATTATCATCATTTTTCGGAGGTGGCGTCGAATTTTTTTTTTATTTCAACTATTTTCTAGATTTCTTTTTTTTTTAGTTTTTTTACCCTTCTCTTTGACTCGATTCTCTTCTCTCCTCTTCAAGTCTTCCCTATCTTTTTTACACTTCACATTTACAGAAACGCAAAAAAAAGAAGAAAAAATCAATTCCTCTCTTTGATCTTTGCCAAGTCTCTATTTTTGTTGCATCTTTATAAAGTAAATTATGTAAATATTTATTGGGTTTTCTTTTTCTAGGATCTGATTCGTGATCTTCCTTTAAAATATTTGTCTTTTTTTAATCTTTTATCTCTTCCCTTATTATGTTAATTATGAGGTTCTGGAAATTCAAGCAAGTTTGAGTTTTTATGCATTCATATAATAGTTTTCTGTCATGGGATTCGAAAAAAATGAAACTATCAAAAAGAATTCAATTTGGGATCTTCAGTTTCAGCCTCTTTGTTGTGTAGAATTATTGCAATGATATCAGTTTAAAAGAATTACTGAAAGGAAAGGACTCGGTTTTGTGCATGATTTGTCTGAATACTTGTTTTCTGAAAAACCCAGATAGCATTTATTGTTATTTTTGATAATTTTGTTTTTGTTTAACAGTTTTTTTTTTTTTTTGGATTTGTACACAGTTTCTTGTTTACTGTTTTTAATTAACTTCTAGATTTAGTTTGTCCTTTTTTTTTTGGTTAGCTCAATAGCAATAGAAAGTCGGGTTTTTGGGACCAAAGTTTTGATCTTTCTTCATGAATTAAGCAAGATTTGACTAAGATTATAATGGCTTATTTATCTGAGCCATCTTCTTCTTTGAGCTTCAGTTCATCTTCGCATCTGTCAAATGGCTCAAATACTCACAACATACCCTCCTTTTCTATTCCTGAAACTGGGGCTAACCTTGAAGTTATAAGTTTGACCAAGCTCAGCTCCAACTTGGAGCAACTCGTTGTTGGCGACTGTCCTGCTTTTAGTGATTCTGATATAGTTGTTGAAGATGTTGCTGTTGGTGTTCATAGATGTATTTTAGCTGTTAGGAGTAAGTTTTTTAATGAGTTGTTCATGAAAGGAAATGGGTCTTGTGAGGAAGAAGGAAAACCAAGTTATAACCTGAGCGAGTTGTTGCCTTATGGCAAGGTTGGACTTGAAGCTTTTCAGGTTTTCTTGAGTTATTTGTATACTGGGAAGCTCAAGCCTTCTCCTATGGAGGTTTCAACATGTGTTGATAATGTTTGTGCTCATGATGCTTGTCGACCCGCCATTAATTTTGCCGTGGAGTTGATGTATGCATCTTTTATATTTCAAATACCGGAGCTGGTTTCACTTTTTCAGGTGAATGTGGGATTATCCTGGTGATAGCTTTTAATTCTTTTAGCAAATTTATTTACTTGTTGAGAGCCTCAGTTTTTACTGTTGACTTGGTATAATGGTGTGATCTATCATAGTAATAGTTTTCAATATTCAGTATATTGAATATGTATTCACTATAAAGTTAAATTGGAGCTTCTGATACCGTGAATGCTTTAAAAGATGATTACCTTTTCATCCTTCAGTTAATATGTAAAAAAATCATTATGTTAACATGGTAATTGAAATGAAGAAGCATGGATAGATTTTGACCCCCGAATTTACCCTTTTACTAAACAACATTTTTGGCTTGATTGGACCAAGTGAATGTCTACTAATTTCGTTTTTGTATACATTTGCAGCGACGTCTTCTTAATTTTGTTGAGAAGGCTCTTGTAGAAGATATTATCCCAATCCTTGTGGTTGCTTTCCATTGTCAATGCAGTCAGCTTGTTTCTCAATGTGTTGATAGAGTGGCAAGGTCAGATCTTGATAGCATTTCTATTGAGAAAGAGCTTCCTTATGAAGTCGCGGAGAGTATTCGATTGCTTCGCCACAAGTGTCTGCCTGACAATGAAGATAATGAGGAAGCAGCCGATCCTTTGCGAGAAAAAAGAATTCGGAGAATACACAAAGCATTAGACTCTGACGATGTCGAACTTGTTAAACTACTTTTAACTGAGTCTGAAATAACTTTGGATGATGCTACTGCTCTCCATTATGCTGCAGCATACTGTGATCCCAAGGTTGTCTCTGAGGTTCTTGGCCTGCGCCTGGCTGATGTTAATCTACGAAATTCTCGTGGTTACACAGTTCTTCACATAGCTGCAATGCGTAAAGAACCATCAGTGATTATGTCACTTCTAGCAAAAGGGGCCTCTGCTTCAGAATTGACGTCGGATGGACAAAGTGCTGTTAACATCTGCCAGAGGTTGACAAGACCAAAGGATTATCATGCAAAAACAGAGCAAGGGAAGGAAACAAATAAAGACCGGATATGCATTGATGTCCTGGAGAGGGAAATGAGGAGAAATCCAATGGCTGGAGATGTTTCTGTTACTTCCCATACATTGGCTGATGATCTGCACATGAGACTTCTGTACCTAGAAAACCGAGGTATTACTCTATGTGGGGATTTCATGTGGCTCTATATCTCCACTATTGGTTTATCAGATTGCATTTCCTGAAAGTTCATTAAATACTGGAGTATGGTTATTGTCAATATGAAATTATTGATAAAGTAAAATTTTTATGAATATGACAATTTCTGCATTGCTTAATATGGCTTGACATGGGATATCAAATTTGTGCTAATAGTACTGCATATGTAAAGCAAGCAAACCGTATCCCGGATAAATAGTACTTCGTATGTTCTCTTCTTTTTGAATACGCTTAGGAAATTTTGAAGTGTTAGTAAGCCACATATTAGTTTGTATTTCTTCATGAAAAAGTCATACTTTCCCCTGCGCATATAGCTGAAGATTCCATAATGAATTCTAACTATGTTAGAGATGCACTTTCTTTGGTTATCATTTTAGGACAATTAATTCTGGAAAACTAGCTGAGCTAAAGGTGTTAGATCTTATATGTGCGGTTTTCATTTGTGATGTACCAGTGAAAGGCTCTATTTGTTAATTGAAACAGTATGATGAATGAAATACTTCGTAAAAGTTGGGCTTCCTCTCATTTGACTTTTATATAGATTTATGTATGCAAACATTTTCTCTTTATAATTTGGTTTACGAAGTAGTTTTGGTCCTTTGGATGTGTACTTTCACTTAAAATGCATTCATTCTGCAAGTGTCCCTATTAGAAGTTCATATTCTTTAGAGGATTAGCTCTGAGTATTTTGTCTATGGCAGTGGCATTTGCAAGATTACTTTTCCCTAGTGAAGCGAAACTTGCTATGGACATAGCACATGCTGAGACAACCTCTGAGTTTGCTGGTCTTTCATCGAAAGGTTCTAATGGAAACTTAAGGCAGGTTGACTTGAATGAGACGCCCATTATGCAGAAGAACAGACTTCTTGCAAGGATGCAGGCCCTTATGAAAACAGGTGACTGGAAGTTTTAAATATGATATGCAGGTCTTCCATTTCACTTTTCTATGGCAGCCTTTTATTTGGTTTAGCACTTAGAGAGTAATATTTTTAATGCTCTGTTGAAACAAGTAGTCTTTAGTGGCTATTGCCTTATGGTGTTGGTGACAATAGGATGGCCTGAACAGGGGTCATAGGGTTTGGACAAAAAGAATTGTTCTTCGAGTCAAGTAGAAAGAACATAAATAGATCAAATTACTTTTGAATTTATAAACCAATCGCAGTATACCATCAAAGGGGAAAAAATAGAGAAGAGAAGAAAAATAAGAAGCTGAAGAAAAAAATTTTCTTGCTCCTATTCTCTTTTCGATATTTGTGTGAAGTTGTTCCCAAGTATTTAGTTGTATCTTAGGCTTTAATGGATTTTTATCATTACAGAGTACAGACACTCTTAAATTTTTCTTCAATTCATGTTTGGTTAATACAACCTGCATCAACCTGCAAGAGTACATTTTTTACTAATCTGCAACAATGGTAAAAATTCTCAGATCAATTTAGGGACGTTTCAATTTGTCACGGTTATATTTTTGCAGGTTAGTAAGAAATGTACGGTTGCCCACTGACTTCATATTGTGTTGTTTGAGCACTAAATTAAGTGCAGTTGACATCACTAAGCGGGAAATAAGAGTTCCCAAAAATATTGCATCGTTTATTTTCACTGACCACTATTAGTTTCTGGCCTTAAAATGTCAGTCTACTTCCTCATCTCAGAAAATAATATTGTATTTTGCTTTTTAGTTTCTGAGATCAATCTAAGTCATGTGATATGTCTTTTAAAGAAGCACAATTTCAGGAGATATAAAATTGTTGGAAACTGAAACAAACAAAATTTCCCCGCATTTCTTTTATCTGATCTTTGTGGTTGTTTCACAGTGGAAATGGGTCGGCGCTATTTCCCTCATTGCTCGGAAGTTTTAGATAAGTTCATGGAGGATGACCTTCCTGATTTGTTTTACCTTGAGAGGGGCACCCCGGAGGAAAAAAAAATAAAGAGATCACGCTTCAGGGAGCTTAAGGAGGATGTTCAGAAGGCATTTAACAAGGACAAGGCCGAGTTTAACCGCAATGGGTTGTCTTCATCGTCATCATCATCTTCTTTAAGAGATGCTGGCCCTTATAAGCTCAGAAAATTGTGAATAAATGTAGGTTGTGCCTACAATGAGGAATGATTATCAGAAGCAAAACGCTTTAGAGTTTTGATGAAGGTTTCTCATGAGAGGAACTTATAAGTGTTGACTACTTCTGTCTACAACTTTTAGCCGGGACAACTTGTTATGTAATCTATGCCTTGCTAATAAAGGTAGCAAAAGTTACATACAATTCCAAAATCGATAGGAGTGTTATGTTCTTTAGTGACTTAGAGAACTAATGATAATAGAAATTTTCAACTGATTCATTAATCTTACCCTTTTTTTTCTGCATTTGGAATCCATAGGTTGGTCTGGTTACAATTCTTGTTCTAGAGATGATGATAACTAAAATGGAGGTATATTCTTGTTTACATGAAATTATACAAGCGTTTATCTTTCTATGAACAAATTTTCTGATATTGGTTCAAATTTTCTTTCTAAGAATGGGTTGCGACTATATATGTATAGGATGCACGGTGATTCTAAATCCCAAAGATTTTCTTCATGATGTTGATCGTTGTCACTGGATTGCAGATAAAAGTATTGACCCATTTGGAAGGGGGTGGTATGTTCAAGTCTGGGAGATCAATCCATTTGTGTAGCTGTAAATTTAATGTAAAAGCAACAATTTTATCTGAACAAGTGGAGCAATATACACAATCGAAAATGTCTTTACCATCGTATCACCTTTTAATAAAAATTTTTGGTATCTTAATTCACGTTTTCAGCTCATTTTGCAAGCATTTCTTCAGTGTAATTCAAATTCCTTCCATGCTGATTTTGCATGATGGCGTTCGTAACATTCTACTGCAATTACCAGCACTAAACAATTCCAGAACTTCAATTGATACTCCTGTTTTTGGTGAGCGTATCAGATACCTGCAAAAGTCTTAAATCTGTGAAACGAATAAATTGCACCAGAAATATTTCTTAGAAAGTCGGAATGTCGGCTGGTAGTGAACGAAGAATTCTTGGCTTAGCAAAGAGGAATCCACCTTTCATGTAGCAATTTACAACAGAATGAGTGGCTTCTTTATTCTGCACTTTAGATTATGGGCAACTTTTACCATAGACATGCAATCATCCATTCACCATCTGTCCACGGTTTCTACTGTCTTGTAGGCGATTGAGTTGACGAATCCAGCTCAGGGCATTTTGATCATGCTGGTAACTAAAACACTTGGATGTTAAGATAAATATTGTATCTTTTGTAAACTACATCTGGCAAATAAAAGTATTGGCAATAATTATTTAAATTTTATAAAAGATTTGTTAGAGATTGGTTAGATATTATTTGATAATAAAAAAATTTTTTATAAAAAAAGAATTTTAAAAAGAAAGGGTAAATTATTATGGTTATAAAAAAGAATGATCTTAAAAAATTAAATATGTGAAAAAGATATAAAAGAATTATAGAGTTTTATTAGTAAATAGAAAATTGAGAGTAGATTGAAAATGTCCTTATAAGCATACGTTTGAGTAGATTATAATAGAATTGAAAGTTGACATAAATATGATAGATGGGTGTATATTTGTATATGTTTATGTAGATTGAAAATATTTTATAAGATTAAAGGATAATGAAAAGTCAATGAATATTAATCGTGAATATTTGATTTGATATTTATTTGTAATTTTTTACGAGTAGTGATTTTTTTTTTCTTTTATCTTAAAATATAGGTCGGATTAAATCATATTTTTCGTATGATTGATTATTTGATTTTGATTTCACTGGCTTAATTATTTAATTAGATTAAGACTGTTTATCTAGCACCTGATATCAAACCTAGGATGATACGAACAAAAGGCACAGCAGAAAGTTAAAACTAGCTTTTAACCTCCACAAAGCAGCATGTTGGGATGTTAATGGAGGACAAATAACACCAACAAGCAATTACTAATCAATAACTAAAACAATGTTTCCTGGTAAAGCTTCCAAGGGTGGAATTGAGGTTGAAATCAAATGGCTATCTTCCGAATTGCTCAGAAGTGCAAGATGAGTTCATGGCAGTAGGATGACCTTACTGGCTTGTTTTAAGTTAAGAAGGGCATTCTAGGGAAGCAGAGGATAAAGAGAATATTCAGAAGGCATAATTTGATGAGAACAAGGCTGAGTTTAACTGCACTAGTTTGTCTTCACCGTTATCTTCCCCCTTCTTTAAAACAATGTCCAGATCATAAAAAGTTCCAAAACATTGAAGGTCTACAAGGATGATGATGGCAATGTACGAAAACTAAGCCCTATTGAATATTCCAGGAAGGGAAGTAAAAATCTAGCTGTGTTCGATTCAATATCAAATGTAACTCTTACCAGGAATGTCTTTGCGGGGATGCTTCTCCTAGATAAAACAAAAATTCATCTGTTAAAGCTGGTGGATTAGTCCATATACTTTTACATTGCAATAACATTATTGGCAGTAATAGATTTTCAAAGATTCAATGGACGCCATTTGAAATGTAATCTCGTTCTACTTTTCGTGGGCATGTTAGATACAGTACAATAAATAAACTTGGTTCTCAATTCTTGCACCATTTTGGCTGCTCTTTTTTTTTTTTTAGAGGAGAACAGAACAGAAAATCTTTTGAGAAAGTAGAAGTGTCATGTTAGTAGGGAAGAAAGTTTTCATCGCTAGACACAGGTGCAGAAATGGGGAATCAACCATTGATTTAGCAACTGGAAAGCAAATCGTAATTATAGATAAGATGACATGAAAATTTTTTATGCTTTGCATATCAGACTCCATTGTCTACAATATTTATCACTTTCGAAGTTAAAACTAAAATTGTATAATGAGTACAAATAATGAATGGAATTAACTTAAATTGAATGTAATGATTTCTTTATGCCCTCCCATTTGGTTGGACCTTCAGGATGGACTTTTACAAAATATTTGACAAATCGTGCATCTGAACAGGCAAGGATAGTGCTCAAGGACAACATGGCCTTGGCTGCTCCTCTCTCCCTTAGCCACACATACATAGAAAATCTGTGATTAATTCTTTCCATATCATAACATAAATATGCTGGAAATGCCACAACAGATTCAAGTGGATAGCCTAACCAGTTCTTTAAGCAATCGATCTTCTTCTCAATTACATCCCTTGACTGGTTAAGCACCATCGGAGCATGTCTAATTAGGTTTTTGACATCATTGCAGTCTAAACCAGCATTTACCAGGCAATCAAACCTCTCCTGCAATTGATCCCCTCTGCCTCGGAACTGCTTCAATGCTTTCAACATCTCATCTGAGTTTTCCAGATAACCCAACCTCAATAAGAATGCTGTTTTCTCAAGATAGTTACTAGGGTCTGTTGAAGCTACCTGCACACTGCTTTGGAACCCTGATTTGGAAGCCACACTGAACCATTTCAGTGGATCTTCCTTTATAATTTGGCATAATTCATCTTTCTTTACATTTAACTCCCTACAAACTGTTTTAGGGCCTTTCAGAGAACATGAACCCATTAGTTCCATATGTGTGGATACAATGTGTACGATATCTTCTATTCCCATTGAAATGTCAAACAAGAAATCCAATGCCTTGCAAAGATTTTTGGTGCATTTAACTGACAAGATATGTGGATTCTGCATAAACAAGGAATAAACCTCATTCATCTTGAGACCTAATTTGAGTAAGCGACCAAACAGTACATAAACCTTCTTCCCTGAACCTTGAAACAACACCGCAGGATTTGTTTTAAATAAATCACCTAACTGCTCCTTGGTATAACCTATTCTATCAAGAAAATTCAGTGTGTCCAGCATTCTGCCCCAATCATACATGCCCTTAACTGAAAGGTACCCTCCAATCTCATCATTCTTGATTCCTAATACTTTAATTCTCTCAAGAAACCCAGCAAATTCAGAATCAACACCACCAACCAAAAGAGATGGGCAACAACTAACAAGCTTTATAACTGTTGGTTTGCTGAGACCCAAATTCTCATAAACCTGAAGTTCCAAAGCCAACACCCCATAATCATATCCAAAAATCTCCCTCGCCTCCTTGTACATTTTACCCATCTTACTAAGAGGAATACCATAATCACGTAAAACATGAAAATTATCAAGCATGACACTATCATCGCTTAGAAAAATCAAGCGTTGTGGAACAAGAGAGGCCAACTCCGAAGAGCTCAAACCCAAACTCTCAAAAAATGGCTCAAACTCATTAATAGGATTGTATCTAAGGAATTTAGTTAAAGACTTTGCCACATCTTTCTCGGGATCAATCTTGAACAACAAACTTTGAAGAAAACGAGGCGAGTTCTTGCTAATATGCTCAGCATCCATGAAGCTAAAGTTCCTAGTAGAATGCAAGTAATCAAATAGCACAACCTGAGCCTCAGTTTTAGCCGCCCGTGAGAAACGGCTAGCAAAACGAGAACTTGATGATTGTACGGATTCGGCCATAGATGCTTTTGGTTTAAAGACAATTCCAGAACTTCTAAAGTACCTAACACCGAGTGAAACAGAACATTGATTCTGAACAAAATTGGATTTCTCATAGACAACAGGAGACAAAACAACAAACATTTCCAAATGGGCAATCATTTCAGACAACCTACAAACCTTTCTACCGATTCTGCATGTAAACATAGCAAGATAAAGATAAAGACACAAAGTTTAGCGAGCGAAGCTAACCTAAATTGGTTGTGGGTTTATCATTTTTTGCAATAAAAGTTTTAAATAACAATAGAGAACATGAAAAAGAGAAGTCGTTGGACTACGGAGCAAATTGGGGTTGCTTACCTGATAAAGGGGTTTATCACCAAACAAGCTTTCGTAAGGTTAAGAAAAAAAACAACGGAGAAAAAATGGGGATTTTTTAGAATATTGTTTTAGGGAAATTTTGAGCCCTGTTTTGCCATTTGATAATTTCCTAAATATTAGGGTTTAATTCCTCAGCTAGGGTTTTACACGTTTTTATTTCTATATTTCTATTCTTTTTTTTTTTTTGGGCAAAATATTCTATTCTTCTTTGTATTTGTTTAAAATTAAATAATAGCTCTTGTATTTTCGGTACGTATAATTCTAAATAAAATGTATAAAAGAAAATTAAAAGAGATATAATGATTTTTGTTTTTTAAAGGGTAGGAAAATTCATAAATATTTTTCCAATCGGAAATTTGTCAGAATTTTGTTATTGATATTAAAATTATTTAATATTCTCAAGTTTCTTCATTATGCAATTTGGGTACGCTAAAACATTTTATAAATCAACATAATTTTTTAATAAATGATACTTTTGCACATACTCCTTTGGGAACTTGGGCCTTGAGGCTCTGCTTTTGTTGGAGGTCAGTCCAAACTGTTACCAACCCTTAATAACAGAGCTCATTAAAACTCCATTCTCAAGTTTCAATCAAAGCCCAACTTAGCAGACAGGTCCGGTTTGAACCAGCCTAGTCAAATATTTACCATTTTTCTTCTTCAAACTTGTTCATGAAAATCATAATAAAAATATAAATATAAGATTTAATTCAATTAATTCATACAATCATTTATTAAAAATATTATTCAACCTATTTAGGATACAAATTCCTTCTTTGTAAAAAAAAAAAAATTCTTGATAAAACTATGATATTGTAATAAAAGCCTAATAAAAAACTTCAAATCCCCTCTTTTCAGAGATACCTGTAATATAGAGGATGTAATAGCTATGGTGGAAAAAAATAAAACAAATCTGATCTCTAAGTTTTTTTTTTTTGGATAAGTGATTTTATTTATCTAAAACTAGCAGAATTCTGTTACAATGCAACAATTCGAGAGTCTTTACAGTGTAATTCTATAGCAGCCTATTCTCGCATATTGATATTTAGGTTCCAAACATCACAGTGTTTGGTTTACTGTAGCTTCTATGATCTGGCTTAGTCCATACAGCCTACTCCTTTTAGCTTCCTTGGTTCGCTCTAGCACCTGTGCTGGTGTTTCTTCCACTTGCTTGAACAGCTTACAATTCTGTTCTCTCCATATCTGGTAAATACAAGCATTCCAAACTAAGCGTAGGATGATGGAAATCAGAGCTTTCCCCTTCATTTTCTTCCTTTGCCCAACTCAGCTCAATAGACCAGCTCTCCACTCTCTTCTGTATCCTGCAAATTTGAAGAACCTTTTGCCATACTTCTTTTGAGAACCCACAGCTAAAAAACATGTGATCCCTAGAGTCTTCCTTACTCTGTCACAGGCTGCATCTACCTTCTACCTCCATGTTCCATCCTTTCAACTTATCCTTAGTTGACAGTATTTTTAAAATAGTCATTCATGCTATCGGTGAATGTTTTGATATATAGTACTGAAACCATGTAAAGTTATGCCACCCCACCTTCTCCTGTTTAGGTCTCATCTCATTCCACTCTCTTGCGATTGAATAACAATTTTCTGGGAAATCCCATATCTCGACTCCGTTGCTCTGAATGAGTTGTTGTGCTGTTTGCCTAAGTTGAAGCAACTTCTCTTTCTAAGATTATTAATAAAGCTACCAACTAATTATTACATAGGAAATAGAAGATTTTGATTATGGTCCAAATTCTTGATAAACTTGTATCGGTTCAATCTCAAATCGGGATATTATGAAAACCTTCATAAGTAAAAACTTAAACTCATAAACATATTTTGAAATAAAATTATGAGATTTTTGAGTTAAATTGATCAAAACTTATGAGATGGGTACAAATCTACATAATTGATATGAAACAATCATGTAGTAATTATAACTCTCTCGTAATTGTATTCTAAAGGTTAATACTATAGAAACTATTATATTTGGTCATTACGAATATTTAGGTTTTAGGAAGCTTACCAATTAAGGCAACTAATTTCCATCATAACTTCACTACCTATAGAGAATTGGAAATTCTGAGAAATTATTCCGCCAAAGATTTGTTTTTTTTTTTTACTTCTATGAAGTATAAATGATAGAGAAAAGGTCAAAATATGAGAAAAAAAAATTGGACTCTGATCTAATTTTTTGAATTGGTGGAGAAGGTTATATGTCACGTTTTGAGACCAAGATTCAACACAGTCATATTATTTTAATACTAAACTTTCTTTCTTAATCATTCTAAATTTTTTTAATAAAATAATCAGTCAAGTATAATTCATAACTTTAATCCAACTAATGATACATTTTTATATATTCAAATATAAATTATATAAAAAAAAATCATTTCATAAGATCTCATTGACTAATATTATCTCTAATAACTAAGTAATCTTTCCTATTTTGATCTTCTAACTTCTCACAATACTAAGGTAATTTATCATTTACTCATCTGTAAAGAGAAAAAAATGGAGAATGAGTAAATCACAGCTCAGCAAGTATAAATTTACACATTTTATCAGATCAAGTATCGTTTTCATACATATCATATAGATCATTCAAAATATTTATCAAATCATAATGTCAAAACATTTCAAAATCATCATTTTATCAAACATTTTCATAGATTATAAATCAATATCAAAGCATATTAATTCATAAATCATTGCAAAATATACTTCATTCAAATATCATAATCAAATCAAATCAAATCATGAATCAATCTTTAAAAATATCATAAATCATCATTATCATTTATTTTTAGTTAGCTACAATCACTGTTATAATCCTGTAACATTGGTTGTATCAATAATTTCATCATCAGATCATTGTTAATTATTATAACTTACTAGCCTGGACCTAATGTTAACTACTATAACCCGTTAGTAGGGTTGTACGATCATGTCTATGCTAACTACTATTACTCATTAGTTAGGATTATAAAACTAATTTTGGTGTTGGTGATACCATTTTTCAAGGATGTAATACGAAGCTATCATAAAATTATTATTTAAAAATAATCTGATTTTCCATTTCATTCATAAATATGATCTATCATTTATATAACAAAAACACAAAATAACTATATGCTTGATCTTATTTTCATACATAAAAAATAAGAAATAAAAATATTTATTCATTTAGAAACTATATATACATAAATTAAAAAATAAGCAAAGTATATGAAATTCTATTTATCTCTTTTCGATTCTACCACTTAATTTTTTTTTCAAAAATAATTAACAGCCTATTTAAGATCATTTCAACATATCAAAAATTACTCAACCCTTTTTTGAAATCATTTATACTGAAAGTAACTAAGTTATACAAGGGTTAACTTAATTAACTGATACTGATAGTCTGAGCTCCTTTCACTAAAAGAGTTGTATCTCAAAATATCTAACTCGAAATTAAGATCTTTTTAATGCATTAGAAACCAGACTCGATAAACTTTTTAACCCTATTGGCCCATCTCTTAATTTCATATAGATTAATTGTAATAATTTTTGTAATCCACATTATATGCTGTTATTTGACAGTATATATATCTTTTAATAAAAATTACATATTTATTAATAGGAAACTCCAATTCAATTCTACTTGTTTTATTGAAAAATAGACGCAATAAGTTTTTTAAACATGTATCGATCAATTCTTAATTCCTTGTATAAAATTTAAGATAATTTTCATAATTCAACTCTGATGCTACTTTCATACAGCCTACATATCTTTAAGTTAAAAATAGGCAACTCTTTCATAAAAAACTTGGAACCGACTTTCGTTTGTTTCATTAAAAAGTAGATTTAACATGCTTTCCATTGATATATAATAATCATAGCAATATCTAATCCCTTGATATAGAATATTATTTTAATCCACTGTTGTAAATAATAGCATCTTATCAAAAAATAAAATTTCTCCTTTAACCTTTAAATATCTAAAATCATTAAATCTTAATAACACGAAGTAAATAAAACCTAATAATTTACCCAAATCGATCATGGAGATTAATAAAAGATTTCATAATTTTTTAAATTTTTTTAAAAACCTTCAACTCTAAATAATAGCAACCAACATGATATATTTCTTAAATAAAAAGATAGCATATACTCTACTTTAAGGGATTAATCCAATTGTAACATCTGATTTCAAATCTTTAACTTGATTTTTTATACTCTCTAATCCTAAGCAGGATGAGAAAAAGAGCTTTGCTTTTTTTTTTTTGTTTTACAATAAACAAAGATGGTTATGTTTTCTCAGTCACTTTTTCTTTTATTAATTGATTTCTTAATAAACTATAGGTTTTAGTATTAGTTTAATCCAATTATCATCTGGGCTAAGGTATTACATTATAAATTGTTCCAACTGAATATACTATTTCAATAATCACTCAAATAGTTGTATTGTACTCAGTCTGTACGCCTACACCAATTTTTATGAACACGATTCACTAAAGATTTCTAAGAACAAGTAATGGTTTAAAGCAAAAACGTTTGATAATGGTTGAACATAGAACTCTATCAATCCCTATGCTTTTTTCCCACATTTTGTCAAAAATATTTTCATTGGAACAAAGTTGTTGATATCACATTTGAACTATTAAAGTTATGCTAGTACTTTAAAACAATAACAAAAAGTAATAACTAAGAGCTTAATATTGAAAAAGGAAAATTCATGTCAATATATAATATAAGATGTGTAATGCCAGTACCAAATTGCTAAGTTATATTCATTCATTTGCATGAAGAAAATTCCATATTTGATCTGCACTAAAGATTAGACTCAATGTACATTGTTGTTATTGTTTATAATGTTAGTGGAGAACTTCTCGTTTGAGTTGAAGATGCTCCAACCCATTTAGTCTTGTCTCACTATCACCCACAGATTAATTCGAAAGAGCAACTAAGGGCCATAAAACTAGAACCTCAGTAGCCAGTACTAAACCAACCAATCTCATAATTTTGACAACAGCTCAACATTCCAATATATTCCATGTTCATGATCACTAGTTTCTTGTCTTGGATATAATATTAAGGCAATATTTTCATTGGAACAAAGTTGTTGATATCACATTTGAACTATTAAAGTTATGCTAGTACTTTAAAACAATAACAAAAAGTAATAACTAAGAG